GTGCAGGGATGCGCTCCTTTCCTGCTGCGTCACTGCTATTATCAGTTTATGTGTAGAGTCATGATGGTACCGAATGCTATTGTAAAGTCTCTGGATTGATGAGGACTGATTACAAGCTCAGTCAGGTTCACTTGTAATCTTTGGAGTCACTGGCTTCTTTGTATGTGAATATATATGTGATTATTGTGTGTGTCTTAACACTGCTTTTTAATTTTTTCTTTCATTATCCTTAGCTATCCTGTGCTTGCATGTGAGTCCTTAATAAAGTCTAAATTAAAAATGGACCTGTGTTGCTGCTGTAAGGAAGTCGATGAGGTGTAAGTTGTTCTGCAAAGGTACATGACTTGTCATTTCCCAGTCTTGTTTTGTTACAAATGTAATTCTCAAAAATCATTTCAGAATTCATATTTCAATTGCTACATAATCCTCTATTAGTTTAGTATTTAACTTTTTTTCCCCTTGCAATGCAACACAATAATAATATAACAAAACTACATGATTCTGCCCAAGTGTTTTAATTTGGGAATAAACATATTGACACTAGAGCAGACGAAGAAAATTTACATACATGATGCATTTAGTCTTTGGCCTTAATAATTTGCCAAAATACAACAAGGTGTGGTTTCTGAGCCCTCTGGAGGGCAGAATCCCTCTTGGATGTTGAAACAAAATAGATTGAACAGCAATATCAGCACAGCTGATTTGTAACAAAACAAAACACGGTTTGCACTGAACCTTGGCAGCATACTGGGCAGGAACATGATCATTCATGTTCATTGATTATTAATACAGAATACCTCAGAATACCTTTCTGTGACCACTATAAGATGAAATAACGCCTCTTAAAAACTGTATCAAAAAGAAGAGACATGTCTCTTCATGTCATGTGACAGTCATGTGACAGCGTCTCAGCTGGTTCCTACAAAATCTTTTCACTCATTTCCGAGCATTTGGACAAACCTAGTCGGCGTTACGTGGTTGATATTTCTGCATATGTTTGAATGTTTTTGAAGATGACACACGGATTCCACGTGCTACTTTATTAGGTACACCTTGCTAGTACCGTGTGGACCCCCTTTTGCCTTACTGTCTTAATCCTTCAAAAAGGTACTGGACAGATTCCTCAGAGTTTGGTCCATGTTTGATAGCAAAAAGCAGTTTCTGCAGATTTGTCACCTGCACATCCATGATGCAAATCTTCTGTTACACCACATCCCAAGTTGCTCTTTTGGATTGAGATCTGGTGACTGTGGAGGCCATTACAGTACAGTCAACTTAATGTCATGTTCAAAAACCAGTCTGTGATGATTTGAGCTTTATGACAAGGTGTTTTATCCTGCTGTGGACGTAGACATCAGAAAATGGGTACACTGTGGGGTAGCAACAATGCTCAATTGGTACTAAGGGACTCAAAGAGTGCCAAGAAAATATCCCCCACCACCAGCCTGAACCGTTGATACAAGGCAGGATGGATCCATGCTTTCATGTTGTTGACTCCAAATTCTGACCCTACCATCCGAATGTTGCAGCTGAAATCGAGACTCATCAGACCAGGCAACTTTTTCCAATCTTCTATTGTCCTATTTCAGTGAGCCTATGTGAATTGTAACCTCAGTTTCTGTTTTTAGTTGACAGGAGTGGCACCCGGTGTGGTCTTCTGCTGCTGTAGCCCATCTGCTTCAAGATTTGACACATTCTGTGTTCAGAGAGGCTCTCTTGTATACCAAGAGAGGTTTCAACAAGTGGTTATTTGAGTTGAGTTCTCTGACCTCTGCCATCAACTGGGCATTTTCGCCTTCCGAATTGCCGCTCACTGGATATTTTCTCTTTTTCAGACCATCTTTAACCTCTAGAGATGGTTGTGTGTGAAATTTTCAGTAGATCAGAAGTTTCCGAAATACTCAGACCAGCCCGTCTGGCACTAACAACCATGCCACGTTCAAAGTCACTTACAGTAAATTATCTTTCTTCTCCATTCTGATGCTTGGTTTGAACATCAGCAGATCGTCTTGAGCATGTCCACATGCCTAAATGCAATGAGTTGCGGCCATGTGATTGGCTGATAAGGAATTTGTATTAAAGTGGAGTTGGATCAGTGTACCTCATAAAGTGGCCGGTGAGTGTATATCCCTTTTAACTGCCGCAATATTACAACATTGGTGAAGAGAAAACAGATTTCACTTAAGGTGCAAACCCAAGTGGCTGTCGAGTTAGCTCCATACTGGAAACACATATGTCATGCACAAAGGCAAGGCAAGTTTATTTGTACAGCACAATTCATACAAAAGGCAATTCAAAGTGCTGAATAAAACCAGATAACATTATAGTGATTGTCTGGAGTTTGTTAAAAAAGAGAGAGAGAGGTTCATGATTTGAAAAAAACGACCCAAGCTCCCTCCCCCTTCCTTTCTGATTGGTTGTTTCCGTAACAATCAATCAACATATTTAAATGTTAATCATTAAGAACACATTATACATATACATTATTAACATACATGCAGAGGTTTTCAGAATGATTTATTAACGCTTTCATGACAAAAATAATGTTTTTAATGCACACAAAAACAAAACAAAATCATCAATTGAACATAATAGGACACATCTGCAGAGGATTGGATTATGAATATAGGTTCAGTATATAAATGGGTGACTCAGCGCGGATGTTCGGAATTCTTTGTTCAGTTTTCATGTAGTTCCAGAACCTAATGGAGGCTTGATTCGGACGCTCCCTGAAAACAAACACCTGAGCATGCGCGCAGCTACGAGCATGCGCGCCGATGATTGACAGCCCTTGGCATCACTTGATTAGTTAAACTGGACAGCATCGTGGATTTTGAGCTATAGCTAAGAGAAGGGAACTTACCCGTAATATTCAAATTAATAAAATGGCTTATTTTATATCAACATTTAAGGCCAGGAGGTCAATTTAATACAATTCTTCAGATTTATAATTCATTTAGAGTTCCACACTATCACTTTCATAAAAAAATCACAGTAAATTGAAAAGATCCGGTTCATACAGGACAAACATGTCACTAATGTACTTTGGTGCAAGGCCAAGCAGAGCTGTTTTAAAGTCTATTCTCTGAGCCACAGGAAGCCAGTGCAGAGACCTGAGGACTGGACTAATGTGATCATAATCCATGGTTCTAGTCAGGACTCGCAAGCAGAGTAAAATCCAGATTAGAAAATAATAATAATAAATAAATAAAAATCTACATACATTTCTTCCGTTTACTAAATACAAGTGCACTGGGTGCACACAATAGACCGTTAAGAGTGCGGTACAGTGCCGTAAAGTGACGGTCATAAGGGCAGAGGTCAGTGATGTTTTATGAAGTGTTCATGAGTCCAACAGCAGAGGGGAAGAAACTGTTCTTATGGCGGGAGGTTCTGGTCCTGACGGTAATCATTCAGTTATTGTACTGCATATTTTGTTAACAGTGCGTTGTTTTCATCAGTGATTGCTGTACAGCTTATAAGAAGTTGTGCTAATGCTAACAATGCCTACCTGCTCTGTTGCCATCTTACACACGCATGTGTCCGCGGCACTTCTGAGTGTACATTTTTCTTGATTGATGAAAACATTTCATTAACGTGCGTTAACAAGATCTTTTTGACAGCCCTAGGGTACGGTCATATAGGTTTTTACAAACAAACTAGGCCAAGTGGCCCGGATCGTCGCCACAGGGGTGTGAAAAAAGCCCGCGGTCACATGAACGTATTGTCTGAACCGTGCCGGGGAAATTGTGCTGTAGTACAACACTCGGTCCAGCTGGTGGCGCTAATACTAACACCAGAGACTACCTCGTTGCCCTGGTTGAGATCCGCTTCTTTTCCTGTTTACATTCTGCTACCGTAGCTAACAGCTAACAGCTACAGCTACTACAGCTAACAGCTCAGTACGGATCGCGTTGTTTAGGGAAAGATACATCTCACACTTGTCCACATTGCTCTGATGCAAAGTCCAGCAGTTCAGTGGGTAACATGTGTGTGCACACGTGTGTGTGTGTGTGCGTATGCGCCGCAGACGCGGACACACACACAAACACACTCTTTAGCAACGAGCGTAAGAGCGCTGAGAAATGAATGAATGAGAATGAAGGAATGAAAAGTGTGGAGTAGAGCAGAGCGACCGCAGACAGGGAGGTTACAAGTGTGTGTTTGTGTGTGTTCTGGTGATTAAATAAAGACTGATTCTTGAATGTCTGAAGTGTTATTGCAATAGCACCACACTGAGAGCAAGGGTCAGGACAGAAGAGAGCTATACCTGTAGGAAACGCTCTCCTTTGGCCCTCCAGAGAGACACTCCCCCAGCGCCCCTCGAGCACGGTCCGGGGCTTATATGAAAGGTTTAACACAAGCGGAGAATACAAAAGTGCAGGAGAGACGTGTGTGAAAATGTGTGTCACAGGAAGACGTAATGTGACGCACAATATCAAGTCCCCAACACACCTAATCCCCCACTCCCCACCACCCGCCACACTGACCCCCCTCATTGCCGCTGGGAAGCGGGCCCTGGCCGCAGTTTTTAACCGCGCCAGAGCACAATTCCAGGAATTGGGCTTTAGGCTGCGCATGTGACCGCAGCCCTAGTCTTAAGTCATCCTCATCATGAGAGTCATCCAAGTCATGTGACTCGAGTCCCCACCTTCGGTGACCACCCCTGGAACAGAGCATTAGCAGATGAGCTGACCCACCTCTCAGAAATGCATCCACCGAAGGCATTTGTGCGACACAGACATTTGCTCCAAAATGTATGACCCACGGCAGGGAAGTTCATGCTATTGCTGCTGGGAATATTATTCAGAGACCACTTGCTCCAAGATCACAAACAAAGGTCACTGCCAGCCAGGATACGATTCCAGTGGGTGAAAGAAGAGTGAAACACAGCTGGAGGCCACACATGAGCATGCGTGTGTGTGTGTGTGTGTGTGTGTGTGTGTGTGTGTGTGTGTGTGTGTGTGTGTGTGTGTGTATTACAGTAGAAGGGAAAACACCTGGTGCAGGGGGTAGGCGGCACTGAACACCTGGTCCTTGATGAGGCCGCTGATGCCCACTTGTCCCTCACGCTCAGAGCCATATGGCGTCAACGACAGGATCTCGTATAACTGCAAACAGTGTGAGGATTCCTGAGAGCCAATCAGGAAGGATGAGAATCCTGAGAGCCAATCAGGAGGGAGGGGAATTTTGAAAGCCAATCTGGAGAGAGGGGAACCTAAGAGACATACTTGAGAATCCTGAGAGCAAATCAGTAGAAAGAAGAAGCCTGAGAGCCAATCAGAAGAGAGAAGAATCCTGAGAACCAATTAGGAGAAAGGGGAATTCTGAGAGCTAATCAGGAGAGAGGAAAATCTTGTGAGCCAATCAGGAGAGAGCAGAATCCTGAGTGGCGATAAGGAGAGACGAGAATCCTGATAACCAAACAGGAGAGAGGATAATCCTGAGAACCAATAAGGAGAGAGGAGAATCCTCAGCGCCAATCAGGAGAGAGGGGAATCCTGAGCCAATCAAAAGAGAGAAGAATCGTGACAAAAAATCAGGAGAGGGGAAAATCCTTAGAATCAACAAATTTAGACCAGAATTATAGAAGCCAATCAGGAGAGGGGGAATACAGAGAGCGAGTTAGGAGGGAGGGGAATCCCGAGAGCCAATTAGGAGACAGGAGAATCTTGAGAGCCAATCAGGAGAGAGGGGGATTCTGAGAGCCAATCAGGAGGTAGGGGAATCCTGAGAGCCTATTAGGAGAGAGGGGAATACAGAGAGCCAGTCAGGAGAGAGGGGAAAACAAAGAGCCAATCAGGAGGGAGGGGAATCCTGAGAACCATTCAGGAGAGAGGGGAATACAGAGAGCCAATCAGTAGAGAGGGGAATCTTGAGAACCAATCAAGAGAGAGGGGACATCTGAGAGCTAATAAGGAGAGTCGAGAACCCTGAGAGCCAATCAAGAGAGAGGAGAATCATGAGAGCCAATCAGGAGATAGGATAATTCTGAGAACCAATCAGGAGAGAGGAGAATCCTGAGAGCCAATCAGGAGAGAGGAATATCTTGAAGAAAATCCTCAGAGCTAATCAGGAGAGAGGAAAATCTTGAAGGAAATCCTGAAAGCCAATCCGGAGAATCCTGAGAGCCAATCAGGAGATTCTGGGTGGTGACTTTTGATGCATTGTCCAGTCTCAAATGACTGTCCAGTTTCAGATGGCTCTCTGTACAACTGTTCGGTTTGCAGTACTCCCCACAAAACTAGACTGTTGCTACATCCCAATTCAGCACCAACACTTCCTTGCTTCTTCATCCTTTGGCTTGCTTTTTAATTGACCTCTTATGACACAAGGCAGCTCCAGGTTTGCGCAAATGTAATTTAACATCCTTTTAACATATTTTAGGCCATTTATTTCACATAGGTCAATAAAAAGCTTGGAATGACAAGAAAGCGGGTATTCTTTATGAATTCTGCAGCCATGAGACCATTTCACAGGTGACATTTGAGCCAAGATTTTTTGTGCCTATTTCACAATATTCTAATCTTCTGGGATTTTTTTTTATTATCAAGCCATAAACCATAATAATCTAAATAAAAACAAACAAAGGCTTTGCATATCCCAAGTGGTATGTCATGGGTCCAAATCATACATTATTTTAACTTTTTTAACACAAAGTCTACAGTCGTCCACATATGTTGTGGGGTTAAGTTCTTAAAATAACCAACAATAACTATTTCAAAACAAAATCATGGTTTTTATCATGAAATTGAAAATAAATGATTGGAAAATATATAATTGTCCTAATAAATGATGTATAAATGTTTTAATAGAATTTGTTTATTATTTTATCTGTTTTCAGTGTTCTGTTGGTAGGAACTAATGAAGCGTATTAATCATCAACTGTATAGCCTGTAGTAGACTACTGAAAGTAGTGGACATATTGTCCACAAGTGACTTGAAATGTGCACGAGGGAGACACACTCAGTTCCTTGGGCGTGGAGTGGAAACCTTTTCTGGACTTTATTGTCACAGAATGCTGGTGGAAGGATTATGTGACGCTCTAGTCTTAAAGATGATGATGATGTGTTGCAGCTCTTCTATCAGAAGTGAGCTGGCTTAAGGGGAGACCGAAGAAGGGCCTGAGTTCACAGGCTGAATACACTGCAGGGGGAGCAGCGTGAACACTGCAGAAGAGCAGCCTGAAGACACTGCAGAAGGAGCAGCCTGAAGACACTGCAGAAGGAGCAGCCTGAAGACACTGCAGAAGGAGCAGCCTGAAGACACTGCAGAAGGAGCAGCCTGAAGACACTGCAGAAGGAGCAGCCTGAAGACACTGCAGAAGGAGCAGCCTGAAGACACTGCAGGAGGAGCAGCCCAAACACTGCAGAAGGAGCAGGAGGAGCACTCTGGAAGACACTGCCGGAGGAGCAGTGGCTGGAAAACTGAAAACTTTTGGCTGACATAAGTTTTGAATATCATCAGAGCTCCCTACCTTACACGTTTTTGGAAATCTTAGAATCTACACTTTCAGAAAATGTGAACACCTTAAAATGCCTCTGTAAAGAATTATTCCTTGTTTGGAACCAGACGATCAGATATTAGAAAGGACACTTACTACTCTGTGACGCTGTGTTGGCTTGAAAAAGTTGTCTCTGTCATCACTGCCCAGGAACCTAAATAAAACATGGTGTCACTGATTGTGCAAATAGACTTGCAGATTAACAGCTCTAAAGGCTTTTAGAGCTGTAAATCTGATACGGACAGTCCCTCTGCTTCATTCATTCTAATTGAAGTATCTACTCCTCAATGCTAACGTTCGACTGTTGACAAATCATGCCTCTGTCAGCTATATTTCTGGAGAGGAAAACTAACCGACAAGCAGAGAAAATTAATCTTCAATTTATTTCAAATCTTTTTTGTGAAGCCCTAAATCACAGCAGTAGTTATGTCGGAGGAGACATGGATTACAATAGCTTTAAAGGTACACTGTGTAGCTTTTATTCCCACCTAGCGTTGAGATCATATATTGCAGTTTACTGTCAACCGGCAGCACTGTGGTAGCCTTCGATGGACAATATGTTGTATTTATAGATTTTTTTATTTAGATAGATTTATAGCATATGTAAAACATTATTTAGTATATATATAAAAATATAAATATATTCATTTGTATTCATATTATTAATGTATATATTAAATGTATTTATATGTATATATACATATTTATTTTATTTAGGCAATTTTTGTCCTCCATACAACAACACAGTAAGAAAAAAATTACACGGTAATTCAAACTCACGCTGTTGAAAAAACGGTATTCTGGGGATTGTTTTGTAGGGATTCTGTGTGTTTTGCATTTTTGATGCTTGTCCTCTGAATAAGTTCAGTTTAAACTTGTGGTTTTAGTAGTTGGAATAATGTTTGGAATGGGTCAGATCATCCTGAACACCTGTGTTGCAGATTCTGCTTTGTTCTCATTACTGTGTGAGAAAAGTTACATATTGTGCACGTGTGCGTTTGTTGTGTACAAACCACAGCAATGTGCCTCCTATTGTTTACATGTTCAAAAATATTGTTGTTTGGGTAGTTCTTTGACATAACTGTGGTTATGTCCCTCTTTAAACATGGTGAAAGCAACGTTCTTAGTAGCAGCTGTGAATGTATTTCAAGATGGCACATTGACATGGAGAGTACCGTACTCTAGCGCTCTTGTAAATTTGTAGGTACAATTCTAAGCCTAGGACAACAATTCAAAAACATGGTGGAGGTAAATATTCTTTAAAAGGTGTTTTCACTGAAAACTGTGTTTTTGTTTCAAGATGATCATATACAGATATATGAACCATATAAACAAGGTCAACAAATGATCATCAGTCATACATGATCATTCAGTCATACAATCAGTGGCGTTCATGTGGCATAAAAACATTCTATAGTTTAAAACAGCTTCTGATTTTGATAAGTAGGGATGGTTATTTGCTGCAAGAACCAAGGGTCCGTAGAAGCTGAAGGTCCCTGCTGCTACAGTATGTGTGCTATGTGTACCCCGAGCTCGCTCTCTCTCTCTCTCTCTCTCTGAGAATTATAAGTAGCTGAGGTTGTAGAAGAAAAACAACATGCCTCCTAACCTTCTGATTAGCACCCCAACCCCGAGAAACACTGTTCCACTGTAGACACACTCGCTCCACTATTATTTTGCACTGATTCCATGTGCTCCAATATTAGATATAGAAGTTTGATGTAATTTGGAGTCTGAAAAATAGTATGATATTTCTGCCAACCAGTGGCATAATTTTTTTCCTGATGTGCACATGATTTATTGCAGGTCCTGTTTATACACAGGCCAGGTCAGATGGCGAGCTAGAGACCTGAACTGGCAAGGAAATTAGGCTCCCTCTACTCTTCTGGACTCTCCACATGGTCGAGCCAGGCGACCTTTACCTGGTCTGAGCAACCTAAAATCCAAAGTAACCACAAGGTCTGGGTGGTAATACTGGAATAATTTTGAGGAATGGTATGAAACTGAAATACCAGTTTCATACCATTTGTGTATTACAGGATATGTTTACTTTTGTCTGAGCAAAAACTTAGTAACAAGCATCATGAAGAGTGGAGGAGTCACTACCTGTCCACTTTGTTGGCTCTGAACTGACAGGTGTAGTAGTCAGGAGGTGTCAGGGGCACCTGGTTCCGCAGAAGGTTGGGGATAGAAAACCTTTGGAGGACCTTTCCAGACCAGTTCAAATTGTTGGAATTCTCTATCTGCAAAGTGAAAAGACAACAGTAATAATGGGGGAATTATCAGCTTTGAATATAACAAACATCCAAAGAAATAGTTTTTTTTTGATAAAATCTTATTCAACAGTGGTTCTCAAACTAGGGTCACATGGTCATGCGTGAAAGCATAAATGTGCATACATATATACTAGTATAATTATATACATACAGTATATTTTCATTACTTACAAACTGGATCTCTGCCCATACTCAAATGAAAATACGGGAAAAAGTATGTACATCACCAGGCCATGCACAGGTCCTTTTTGAATATGTTTTTTCTCATTGAAAAATTCTTGATAATGTATGAATGATGCTAAAACAAGAGCTATGTCTGTGTTTTGGATGAGGTAACAATGTAGCATTGTAAAGAAACGTACCTGTAGTGGTGCCCTGAGACTTATCTCCTCTGCATAGTAGCACAGAACCTTCCAGGGGGCACTCAAGAGCACAAAACAGAGTCGCGAGTTCAGATGCTCCACTTCACTCTGCTCTCAACAAAAGGACGCTTACAGATTTTGCACATGATCAACACTTATGCAATAATAGTATTTTTTTCATCATAGATTATAGATTTTCTTTGGGAAAAATAAATACACAAACAATAGGCAGCAATGGTGGAGGGCATGGGTCCGTATATTTTTTGTTCAATGTTTTTTTCAAATTAAAATCAAAAACAAAATATGGTTTCAGGCCAATTTTATTTTGTTTTTTTGACTTGGCGCAACGGGAGGACACAGTTGTCCTCATATGAAATTAACTGTGCTCATTCATGCATCTCACATATTTTTGCACACAAAGTGATTGTTTTTTCTTTTTCATAAAGTCTGGCGTCTGACCACACTTGCCCACAGAGACCGTGAGAAGAAACACATACATACACATTTTTGTTGATCTATATTGGGCCAGTTCTCTGTATACTGTCTGTGCTGTCCTCACACTTGGCACAGGGTCCACAGTTTGTGAAGAACTGTTCCACTGACTATGGAGGACCAAAATGCCAAAACAATAAATATATCAATAAATAAATATGTAAATCATTTTTGAATTAAATGTTTATTAAGAAAATAGATTTAATTTGAAAACAAATGCAATATGTGTTTATTTTGTATATATATATATATATATATATATACATTATACATAATCCCTATTCCTGCTGCTGAGTGGCTGAGCCTATGAGGGAGACAGCATTTGTCTCATTATATATATATATATATATATATATATATATATATATATATATATATATATATATATATATATATATATATATATATATATATATATATACTACGTACCCGGCTCATGCTCACGACTGCACACCGGCTTTAACTGGAGAGTTGATGAAAGAAGGATCTTAATGCTGTCTGTGGTTTTTTTTTAACTAATCCATGAACACAACAAACTATGACAGAGCATAAGGGTCACCCGTTTTTGGGGGGGGGTTTCACGAGACGCTATGAGATTAAAGTTAGAATCTTTTGACTTTAAAGTCGAAATATTATGAGAATAAAGTCAAATTAAAGCCGCAAGCGGCGATGAAAGGCCTCGCCACTCTTGCGACCGCCTCCCAGACGCCAGTCCCACAAGCGTCACACGGCGTACTTGCCGACGAATTGGCAGCCCGAACGGACCAGGATTACGTACATATAATAGCTCATTAATAGGATGAAGTGCGCCCCTAGTGGTCACGCCCGGGACATGCACACTCTACATAGAGCAGTACTTTGCTCGTACTAGTGTAAAGATTTTATTGTGCAACGTTGGTGAGGATCGGAAAAGCTTAGGTCAGAAACCTTCCATACGTGGCGTTGTAGAGTCATATAAGGTGTGTATTTTCACACCATTACGCTCAGGTCATTGCCAACTGTTAGTAATGTGAGTTTCAGCTCTGTAGGTCTGAGCCAGTGGTCAGGAGAGCAGGCTATAGTTCACCCCTAGTGGTCATCTGTGGGACATGCACCCTCTGCGTAATGTAACATTTTTGCTTGTATGGATTTGAAGATTTGACCCAGTGACTTTTTTATGCAGTTTATTTTTAGGTTCAAAGCCTCCTATAGGTGGCGCTATAGAGTTCATATTGTGTGTATTTTCAAACTAATTTGCCTGTCACAGTTATGAAACAGTAATACTTAGGGCCGGGACTTGAACGCGTTATTAGGTTTAATTATATTTAGTCTCATGTTTACACTGCGGTACATCCGTAGCTGGGAGAATTTCAGACGGATTGTTTATACTGATGCACCAATTTGAAGTCTGTGCATGTATCCATAGCTTTCATGATTACACAAACTGTGACATTTCAGTCAATTAAGTCACAGGACAGTTAATTTCTCTGCTCTTCTCACGCCACATATATGGTAATATCTTGAGAAGGGAATTAGTGAACACATTTACTTTTACCTGCATGATACACTGAAAACCTAGGAGCCTATCAATTGACATGGTGAGCTCAGTCATGGTGCAAACACTTAACAGTCAACGGACTTAGATTGAGTGGATTATTTTAGCTGATCTAACCTTAAGCATTAAAAAAGAAGCAATTAAAAAAGAAGCAATTAAAAAAGAAGCAATTATAAAATTGCGATTAAGAACCACGTGACAAATGGAGTACCATAACGACGTGAACTAGTGATGGCAATATGAAGCCCCATGATGCATTGAGGGTTTGCAGCCTATTACTCGGCCCATGGCTCGAAGGCTCGAGGTGATTCATGCTCCACTACTCCATCATGTGGACAAAAAAAATACATAACACTCTTAAGTGCTTACAATGAATGGTGTCCAGATGGGCCCCAGTCCAGAGCTTTAACCACTACACTACACTATAGCTCACCATGTCCATTTATAGGGTCCTAGGTTTTCAGTGTACCACAAAATTAACAAATGAAATGCAAAATGTTGCTGACTGGCTGTGTCAAAACTGTCTGACATTTAACACAGCCAAAACCGTTTCAATGTATTTTACAAACCGAGGTAAGCATATCAGTTGTCCAAATATTTTTATTAATGGCAGTCAAATTAAAAATGTTTATGTAGTCTCATATTTAGGAGTGACCCTGGACCGAAACCTGACCTTCAAACATCATGTAAAGAAACTCCGTAACACGTTTAATTTGGCCAACTTCAGATACATTCGGGGGTCACTCACCACTGAGGCGTCCCATCTGTATCTGAACTCCATGATCCTGTCACATTTTGTATTACTGTGTCTCGAGCTGGTCTCAGGGCTGTAAAACCACTCTGGGACCTCTCGAGTCACTGTACAAGTGTGCCCTTAAGATCCATGATAAGAAGTCCAGGCGGTACCATCACTGTCCCATCCTCTCTAAATAATGTTTGTTTGCTGTTTAAAATGATCCATGGTGTTAGTGCACCTTCTCTAAGAACATTTGTTTCATTGAGTGCAGACAAAATTACCAGAACCACTCGATCCACTTCTAGAGGAGAATGCAGCGTCAAAAAATGTAGAACAACTTTTGCTAAATCTGCTTTTTCGGTGACGGCCATGAGTCAGTGGAAACACACTGCCCACAAAGATCATTGCGTGTACTACATTTAAAACATTTTCTTGGCTGACTAAGAAATGGCTTCTGAAAAAGCAGGTTTGCACGCAAAGTGAGTGAGTGAGTGAGTGAGTGAGTGAGGATAATATTCTAGTAGAAGTTGGGGAGCTTTATTTATTGTTATTAAACTTAAAGGCACACCGCGGACTTTGTGACCTAAAGAGTTGACACATATGAGTTATTTTATATGAATACTTGGGCCAATATACAGCGCTTGACACTTGCAATGCTCCGAGCGGGGCTGCCCTCTTGAAATACCGCCCATGTAAGTTTCGAGCAGACGGACCGTCTGCCACCAGGTCACGTGACTTGAAGAAAGACTTGCTTTACGGCTACAGGCGCTGATATACTCATGGAGCTAAGGCTTTTGCTACTCATTTTTCACCTGCTCGACTCCTGGTCATGGCTGAGGCAAGGAAAAATTTTAAACCTTCGGAGGAGGCTAAAAAGAGGAAACGCGAAAGGGATTGTGCTGTAAGCTGCATGTCTGTATGAGCGCTGCTCTTCACCTGGTTCCTGGATGTCATCGACTGCAAAGATGTCATTCCACGCAGCACGAGCTAGACGCAGAACTCCCTCATCCAGGATATAGAAGTCCATGTGTGGTAGATTACTAATGCAGCGGTCTGGAGGCTGACCACAGCAGAGTCTCTCAATATCTGTAGGCATGTCTCTACAGTTTGAACACACACACCAGTGCATGCTGTCTGAATACACACTCAAAAGACACCGGCTGACTGTTGACTTTTGCGACAGTGCTGAGTTGCTTGTGGCCACTAGGGGCGCTAAACGTGAAAGTTGCAGGTCTAGCGCCCCTAGTGGCCAAGAGTTACACGGTGTTGCCTTTAATGTTTTGTGAATCATGTTATTTAAAGCCTGTAAATGTAAGACACAGTCATGTATCCATCTACATTGTAATCAGTTTAAATGAACATAACACCAGCCTGCCCAGGGACTACAGGTGGAAATTAGCTTTGCTATAACCTGGTACATGCATCTCTCCTTTTGTGTTAATGCTTCAAGGTGCGTTCAGACCAAACGCATTTTCTGCGACAAAATCGCGTCTGACGCGCGTCTTGGGATGCTTGTGACAAATTGTGGCAGACACTGCAGTAGAGCATCTTGGAGGCGCGTCAAGCTCACCGCACACCGAAACGCAGCGCCTCGCGGCGCGTCATTTGACGCGCGTTCATGACATGTGTCAAATTACACCGGAACGCCTTGGCTAGCGTCCTTTTCCAGCTGATCGCAGATGAAATGGGTGAGTGACGTTTGGAAGTTTCTACTAATATTTTGGGGGAGGAAACAAAGTATTTACGTGAAATTATGCTGGCAAATATTACAAGAAAAGACTATTTGGACCCATTTTTTAAACAGGCTAATAACTAGCTCTGGGTAACGCTGTACTTGGGTTATCAAGCTTTCCTCGTCCATTGTGACCGGTTTACTTGAGCAATAGCGCCGACAAGTGTGTAAATTTGAGACCGCGCTCACAGCTACGTGATAAGAAGCGCAGAAGAAGAAAACTACGGGTGCTTGGAGGGACAGTTTCAGCCGCGGCGCCGCGTCTGGATTCAACAAAACTGAATCGTGGCGCCCGGTCCAGCGTCGCCGCGCGTCACTGCAACCTTGGTGTGCGTTCTCTCATAGAAAATAAAGGAGGCGGCTCTTTTGCCGCGCGTCAAGGCGTTTCGGTGTGCGTTGGGCTTCACACGCGTCCAGGACACTAGAGGGCAGCGTTCTGGAGGCGCGTCAAGGAAGAGCATTTTGGGACAGGCCTGCTCTGCCAACACAACTCGGAGAGGGAAGGACACGGGACGGGAGCCAGGATTAAGGTAAAAGTCTAAAATACGCTTTAATTAGGACATAAAAGTTAATTCTAATAACATTTGAGGCGAGAAATACCCCCCTCTATTGTCATATCGGAGGTCTGTTTGGTGATCAAATAGAACATTGTCGGACTTTTCTCCAGTGCAGAGAGCGGGGGTCGGGCAGTGCTCAAGCCGAGAAAGAGCGTCTCAACGCGGGGACACATCAGTGGAGCTCTCACAATCTTAATTCTGAAAATCCGAGGCTTTTGTTACGGACTTTCTCTGTTATAACAATTGTATTGGCAGTAATAATTCGTTTTTACAAAGCCATATTGTATGTAAACAATGCACACATATGCCATAAATGATATATGATTGATTTATTTGCTATGGCCCTCGTTTGTGCATCACTTACATAAATGTAATAACGTGTGTTTTCTGATGAGAAAGGAATATCCATGGATCTATAATAATAATAAGCACATCCATGGATCTGTATTATAATGGACATCAGTAAAAAGGAGTTGAACACAGAAAAGGCCTAGAACTGCTCTTTTTGAAGTCTTGAAAAGCAACAGACTGTTACTGATCAGATTATAGAGTTGAATGTATTCAATTAGAACTTTAAGTACTGCTGACAAATATGTACCTGTGTTAATAATACCTTATTTTTCATTACTCTTTACACTTCAGACACAAAAAACTAAATTCTAATAACACCAACAAGTTTTATTTTTATTTTTTATTTCCAGGCTCTCTATGAAGGTGTCAGAGGCAGACGCCCAGGACTCTGCTGTTGCTCCTGGTTGTGCTCCTGCTGCTGCTGCTCCTCTTGCTGCTCCTCGTTTTCAGAGATGCAGATCCCACTGTTCTAACTATTCATGACTGATAATTAAATAAAACATGAAAATATGTTTGTTGTAGGTCGTATTAATCCCCAGTGAAGCTGGAGGTGATGGAGGTGAAGCTGGAGAAACGATGCCGTGTGATTTTATTGCTGTCAGAGAAAGTCTGAGTTCCATTTCACCAAAAGTCTCTGAAAAAGAACACAAACATCATGTTAAAACAGACACTGAGGAGGAACAGAAGAATAATATATTGGAAATATACACACAAATAAAACTTAGAAGCATGGCTAACCACTTTAAACCTTTTGGAAGTGAGACTGTCATCTGCAAATGTCCTTTATTAATGACAAAAGAAACATCTGTATAATGTGCTCTTATTTCATCATTATATTTATCAGACTATTGTATGAAAAGTGCTTCATAATAAGCCATATATATACAGTAAATGTTAATAATTATACAGTATTCCCAGTCTTAGTATGGGATTATCAATTATATACACAATCTATTTTATATGAATACAGATAACAGTGTTAGCATACTACATGTTAGCATACTACATGTTAGCATACTACAGCTGCTGTCTCCATGGACTGTTTCCTCTGTGTAGCTTTAATATGTAATCTGTGAGTTTGTTTCTCCCTGTGACATTACAGATATTGTGCTGTTATTGTGGATTAGCGATTGTGAAAACTTTAAATAACTTACCAGAGACACCAACCTCCTCACTAGCCCTCCTCCATGTCACGGTGGTAAGTCTGCAGGGCTCATGGGCTAACCACACAGCTTGTCCTCATAGCTGTTGTGTTGTCGTCCCCTTCGGTCCTGCCGTGAAATGCGTTACCACGTCACTGTTGGAGGAGGTTGGTAGACACTCGCGTCTTCTCCCGAAAAGTTCAACATTGTTCAACTCGAGCGTCGGCCGCGAAATCTCAAAACGCGCGAAACGCTCGAAGACGCGCTGCTTGGGAGGCACGTGATGCGCCGCGTGATCTCTTGACGCTCCTAGACGCGCGTCCCCCATGTTATGTCAATGTAAACCCGACGCTTTGGACGCTCAAGACGCGTTTGGTCTGAACGCACCTTCACTGTACACTTTCCCTGTTCAAATAAAGTACATACAATACAATACAATACAATCAGTAGGAAGACTCAGCAGCCTGTTTCACTATAATTTGTATTAAGGCAAGCGGTGCGCCCCTGGTGGTCAGGTCGGGTATTGTAGCTCTGAGTGTAATATTACTATATGAAATAAACTGCTTACTTGCAATTCCTAACTTTTTTCAAATGATAGCACAACTTCAATCCGTCCAGATTGGGAAATGACATAGTAGAACTCTGTATGATGAAAAACCAGGGACTAGTACAAAGTCTAAAACAAAACACCTTGAACTGCCTGTAGGTGGCGCTGTTGCACCACCTACAGGCAGTTGTTTATTGCAAATCGTTGTGTTCAGGGTCATACGCTGTATTCCTGAATTCATTTTTAGCCTCATCGGACAAACATTTTGCCCCAAAAAGCTCATTAATTAACTTTCCGTCGCCCCCAGTGGTCAGGTGTGGGACTTACAACTTTTGGGTAATGTAATTTTTTGCTCGTCTCGGTCCAGAGATTACACTCAGTGATTTTCGGGCCGATCCGAGCACTAGTGCCCTATTACTTTCCGACAGGTGGCGCTAAAGAGCTCATATTGGGCGAATGATTTTAGTTTCGCCTTTTGTCGAACAATCTCAAAACGTCCGTTTTATCAAATGTTTCCCCGAACCGGTCGTTTTAGACCCCCATGTGCAGACTTTCGTGCATGTCTTCAGGGTCAAAAATTAAATTGTTTCGGCGGAAAAAGAATAATAATATGAAACCAACAAATAACAATAGGCCTCCCCAATACTACGTATTGGCTCGGCCTAAAAATTATTAGATTAATCTCAAAATATTTTGATAATAAACTCACAGTCACTGTATGGATACAATGGAGTTCCATCGTACAAAGCAGCTAAATAAACAGAGACATGTTGTGCAGAGTTCACTAATGAACTCAGTGATGGTTTTATGCTTATATCCGCATAATTTGATGACCCAATGTAACAGTGAGGTTAGTTGTTATAAACTATGTGCGCGTGTCTCAGTCGCAGCTGCTTCACCTGCGGCATAGTGCACCGGTTAGAATCACAAAAGCCCAAATCCCTTTTCCGTTCGGTGTTCACGCTGCATGGTCTCCTCCTCTCTGTCCCCTCTCCTCGTCCTCTCTCCTCCTCTCTCCAGCTCTCTGTCCCCTCTCTCTCCATCTCTCTGTCCCCTCTTTCCTCCTCTCTCCCCTCTCCTCTCCTCCTCTCTCCCCTCTCCTCTCCTCCTCTCTGTCCCCTCTTTCCTCCTCTCTCCCCTCTCCTTTCCTCCTCTCTCCCCTCTCCTCTCCTCCTCTCTGTCCCCTCTTTCCTCCTCTCCCCCCTCTCCTCCCTGTCCCCTCTCTCCTCCTTGTCACCATGGGGGGTAGAGCATTCAGCCACTCTGCTCCCCAGCTCTGGAACTCACTCCCCTCTGACCTACACAACACTGTTTCTCTTCCCCTGTTCAAATCCAGACTCAAAACTCACCTTTTCAGACATTCTTTCCCCACATGACAGTCCCCCCAACACCTCTGTCCAGTTCTGTTGTTTTGTTTTTAATAATGCTAATGTTTTTAATTGCACTCTGTTTTAACCATGTTTGTCCTTGGATGTTTTAAAAGGTGCTTTTAAATTAAATGTGTTATTATCATTAGTATAGTATTATTATTATTAATATTTTTGCATCAAATCTCCAGTTAGAGCTGGTGCAGTCATGCAATGGTAGAGCCGGGTACGTGGTAATATAATGAGACAAAAGCGCTTTCCCTCATTGGCTTCGCTCCCACAGCAGCAGGAAAAAGGATTAACTTTTGTATTAACTAGTGGCCATGAGAGAGTGACACCTTAAAGATCCATGAGTGAAACCCAGTCCTGCCCCTTAATTTGCGAGTGCTGGGCTCGCTCTTTTTGCTCGGAGGTGTTTTTGAGCATAGAGATCATAGGTCATATTTGACATGTGTTTTAGGTTTTCATATTATGTTGCTCTGGTCTAAGACTAGAGGTTTTTTGTTTAGTCTTGGTCATTCTGCTATTCTATCTTAGCGAGACCCCGGTAATGGAGCTTTGCCTGCAATTTGCATTTATTCTGTATTTATATATTAAATCTCCTTTTTTATATCTAAGCAGAGTCTGGTCATTTCCATTTCACTATCATTGTTTTGTGCAGGAGGGAAACCCAGTTAGCCACATAGATTATTTACCACACTTTTCTCAAGAAAGCGGGGGTCAGTGGTCCGCTGTGATTGGTCACAGTCTGGTCCTGATAACAATAATAATAATAATAAAAGCGAGCCAATAAACATGTGGACACATAAACACAGCCAAAATACGGCACTGGGAACTGTGGAGGCAGCAGGTGGCAGCATTCATTATTTTCGTTTTAGTTATTATTATTGTCCGGTTTTCTATTTCTTTTTCAGACATAAATAATCATACATTCAAACATATACACAAACACTCAAATACATTAACACCCACATAAGCACCTACATACTTCCATGACAGTACTTGCTTGTTATTTTATTTTTATGAAGTATTTTGTTTTCTTGCTCTGGATGCCTTAAAAATGCCCCCCCCTCTCCCCTTCCCCCCTGTCCCTCCCCCACTAATATACTAACATACTACTATGTTGTACATAGTAATTTATGTTTTTGGAATCTGTATCACATGGTGTTAAAAAAATAAAAATAATAATAATAATAATAATAATAATAATAATAACAATCTGGTCCCGAAACACATTCACAAAAACTCAATCTAAAATAAAATGACACGCCAGCACAAATCTGCGCTACTTTTTCTTCAGAAGGACGTATATCCCAATGCACTGCATGGAAATTGATTGAATTTTTGAAATTAATACGAAAATAAAGTCAGGTAATGCAACTTTAAACTTGCAGATATGAACAGTTTAATGACAAACTGGAGAAGAGCCTGGTCAGTCACTGACGTCAATGTGAGGCATTAGGCTAAGATACTGCAGGGATTTCAAAGGCTTTATGTCTATTTATTTTTATATCCATTTTTAAAATTCTGTTCCACTATCTTATGACTTCATGTGTTTAATAAAAGATGATTATAACAAATTATGTTGACATGCAAATAGTTCCTTTTCAAAGCTTCTTCTGTCTAACAACACTAAGATGGTCAAATTACTGTTTTTGGGAAAGTTGTCCCTGTTTGCTCTGCCGGTGTGTACACAGCCGAGAGGTCAACAGCCTTTATTGTTTGGCCCGGGAAGTGATATGAAAAGGCACGCCAATATTTAAGAAATACAAAAGATATTGATATTGAAGAAAAACAAAGACAAAGGCAAGAACGTTCAGGAAATGTGTTTTTGTCTGTGAGCCTGTTGAAAGAAATTTCAATTGAAATGGCTTCCAGAGCCATACAAAAATATTGGATTATTTATTGAATCATTAAATAAAATGTGGTACACTGTGTCTTGGTTCAATAAGTTATATGCAATTATTTTAATGTTTTAATAAAAATTCTGTTCTGGAACAGTCTTTGGTGAAATGCCATTTGCAAAAAAACATCTTTGAATTGTATTCATCCATTCTCTTCCCTTAATCAATTTCTGGGTCAGGTGGGTGGCAGTCAGAGCTGCATCCAGCACACAGAGCACCAGCCCCTCACTGATCCTCCTGCAGGTGGTGAGTCCACAGGAGCTGAAATCTTTCAGTGGGTGCTTCAGGCAAAGTGCACTACTATGCCCTGGGGCAAACTGACAGAAGCAAGGCAACCAGTACCATTCACACACACGCCAGACACATTCTAGGCAATGGGGGTGAAGTGTCAACAGCAGTTTGACACTTTACAGCCGCAGCGTCCCCACTGTGGCTGGTGTTCCCAGAGGTTAAGTGTCTTGCCAAGGACAAAACGACAGCAGGCAGAGGGAGTCGATGGTGAAAGTCTTGAGGTGGGCTCGAACCCATGACCTTCTGGCTCAAAGGCCAATGCTCTACCAACTGAGCTACTGTCGCCTCAGCTGCTGTGGCCAGTCCTGCTCCTGGTACCCGTCCCCAAAGTAGCAAGGCCGACAGGAAGCAAGGACTACAGACCAGTGGCACTAACATCTGTCATAATGAAGACTTTTGAGAGGATAGTACTCCGACTGCTCATGCCACAGGTTAAGCAGGCTCTTGACCCTCTGGAGTCAGGAAAACATGGTCCTCTACATGCTCCATCGATCCATGTCCTTCCTGGATGGCCCTGGAGAATATGTGAGGTTGATGTTCTTTGAATTCTCCAGTGCATTTAACACCATCCAACCTCTTTTTCTGAGGGAGAAACTGAAGAAGATTGGAGTTCATCTTTACCAACTGGGTTTACAATTACCTCACTGTGAGGTCACAGTATGTCAGGTTAGGGAAGAGCGTGTCAGGGACTGTTGTAAGCAATACGGGAGCACCACAGGGTACCGTTCTGGCTCTCTTCCTCTTCACAATTTACACTGAAGACTTTACATACAACTCTGCTACATGCCATCTGCAAAAATACTCAGACTATACCGCTGTTGTGGCATGTGGGGGATGAAGCAATGAAGCACAGTACAGGGAGGTTGTGGCTGCCCTCTCAGACTGGAGTGAGAGAAATGGACTGATTCGCAATGCGTCCAAGACCAAGGAGATGATCATCGACTTTCACAGGAGCCCTTCTGATCACCGGTCACAGTAAATGGACAGGACATTGAAGTGGTTCAATCCTATAAATATCTGGGAGTCTACCTGGACCACAGACTGGACTGGTCATCTCAGGCCAATGCCCTCTGCAGGAAAGGTCAGAACAGACTTTTCTTTCTGAGTAGACTGAGGTCCTTTGATGTGAGCAGTCACATTTTTTACCAGTCTGTGGTAGCTAGTGCCGTGATCTTCGGGGTTGCGTGTTGGGGCGGCATTCTGACCTCGAGATACAGTAACCGGCTCAACAGGCTGATCAGGAAATGTGTCTCTGTGATGGGGAGAAGTGTGGACTCTGTGGGAGCTGTGCTGGAGAGAAGGATGAGGGCTCTAATGCAGAGCATCCTGGGTAACTCCAGACACCCTCTGCATGACACTATGGCCGCTCAGAGGAGCAATCGAAGCAACAGGCTCCTATCACTACGCTGCCGAATGGAACGTTTCAAGAGATCCTTTGTTCCTTCAGCTGTCAGACTGTACAACAAACCTGGATGAGTCTTCTGCTGCTGGACACCTGAATTTCTCCTACAGGGGATTAATAAAGTCATCCATTTGTGATGAAGGATTTTATTTCATTCATGGGTCTTCAATTCAATTCAATTCAATTTATTCTTGAATAGCCCTAAATCACAACAGTAGTTCTCAGAGGACTAAACAAGATTGTTGAAACCGCCAACACAGATCAGAGAATCAAACAGTTGAAACACAAACAATATAGAACACATAGGTATTGGTCCATTTGGGGAAAGACCAATGGCCATGAATATTGATAAATGTCCATACATTTTGTAAAATGTTAGAGTGTCCTGGATCATCACCACAGTCCTTTTTGTTAGACCTCCTAACTTTCCTGCATCGGCAAGGAAAAACATCAAAACCCAGTGGGGGAAGAGTGAGGGACCTCGGGAGGTCCCTCACTTGAGAGGGATCCGCTCCAGACAGACGGACAGGCTGTAGATCAAGGACTTAATCAACAGATTGAGGGCCAAGGCCACGCAGCAGGTCTTGTGCAAGCACACAACTTTCATCTCTGATTGACTTTTAAAGTCTTTTTAAACAACTTTATTTCTAATGTCCAGAATATCACTTATATTTGTATTTTATTCAAATAGATGTCCAGTTCCTCAGTTTCATTATCAACGTAGCAGAGTCATTTTCGATCTTTTTTTGTTTAATTTACAGTCATTCAGCGAGTAACTGTTACATTCTCAGTGCGCTGTTGCTCTGACGGTACTCACATTCCATGCAAGTTGTCTCTAAACACATCCAGCCACACACGGCCCCATTGATCCATTCATGAATTCAAGAAAGGTCCGCGGGGCATCCCACTTGAGTGCAGGCCTGGTTTCAAATGTAGCCGGGCCTTTGACGCTGTCTTGCCTTCTGAATGATCAGGTACCATCCTTTGGTACAACACTCAGATTCAGATTCAGATTCAGTTTATTTTGCCATTTGCAGTAAATAGATATATGCTATATATATATAAGCGATATCTTCTGCCAGAGGGAAGAAGCTGGAACATGGCTTTCCCAGGGTGGCCAGAAGAGTCATTGATGATTTTAAGAGCTTTGTTTAAAAGTCTGGATTTATAAAGAACCTCCAGAACAGGAAGCTCACAGCCCACGGTCCTCTTTGCAGAGCGGAGCACCTTGTTTAAAGCTCTCTTTTCTTTATCTGTGATGTTTCCAAACCACACAGACACAGAACCAACAAGTAAACTCTCAATGGTGCAGCGATAAAAGTTAGAGGTAAACACTCACAGATCCCTGTGAGTGTTTACCCGCTCCAGTTTGCTTACAGACAGAACAGGAGTGTGGAGGATGCCATCTCCTTAACTGCCTTGTCCCAGGTAAACTGATTGAAAAGCTCATGTCTCTCGGTTTAAGTGTTGCCATGTGTAAATGGATTTTTAGCTTTTTAACTGACAGATCTCAGAGAGTGAAAATCAATGACTGTTTTTCTGATGTTGTTTCTGTGAGCACTGGTTCTCCTCAGGGATGTATTTTGAGTCCTTTGCTTTTGCTTTGTACACTCACGATTGTGTGTCCTCCTCTGACTCAAACTTGATCATCAAATATGCTGATGACACCACCATCATCGGTCTCATCAGTGACACTGATGAATCCTCTTATAGAGCAGAGATACAAAATGTGGTTCAGTGGAGTAAAACTAACAACCTCCAGTTGAACGCATCGAAAACATGTGGTCTGGTCTACGACTTCAGTCGCAATAGTTCTCCTTTGCCTGTCGTAATCGACAACTCCCAGGTGCAGATCGTAGAGGAGTGCAAGTTTCTGGGTTTAACTCTGTCTAACGACCTGAAATGGGTTAAAAACACTGACCGAGTCGTTAAGAAAGCTCGTCAGCGTCTCTACTTTCTGCGTAAACTTAGAGAATTTACCACTAACTCTAAGATTCTGCTTAACTTTTATCGCTGCACCATTGAGAGTTTACTTGTTGGTTCTGTGTCTGTGTGGTTTGGAAACATCACAGATAAAGAAAAGAGAGCTTTAAACAAGGTGCTCCGCTCTGCAAAGAGGACCGCGGGCTGTGAGCTTACTGTTCTGGAGGTTCTTTATAAATCCAGACTTTTAAACAAGGCTCTTAGGATTGTCAATGACTATTCTGGCCACCCTGGAAAAGCCATGTTCCAGCTTCTTCCCTCTGGCAGAAGATATCGCTCTCTGAGATGCAGGACATCTCGTTACGCTGACAGTTTTTATCCACAGGCTTTTATCAGTTTGAACAGAGCACTTTAATGATTTGCACTTGTTTTGAAACTGTTTTAGTCGATCGATTTCACAGTGACATTTGTTTACTGTTTTATTTGTTTTATTTTTGTCTTTTAATGTTGTTTTATGTCTGTATTTGTCTGTGCACACTGGAGACTTTTGCTAATGTATTCCTATGTGGTGTTTTTACTGCAAATGGCAAATAAACTGAATCTGAATAATTGGATGTCCCACTCACATCATCTAACACAACAAGTAGCCGTAGGGCCATTTTGATGGTTTATTGAAGAAAAACATTAAACATCCTGCTCTCTTTAGTGTGCCCAAATACAATGTATTAAAATATTTTCACAAAGTAGATCAATTTCAGTAATACTTTTTTAACATTTATATTTAGTACAGTAGTTTGTCTTTTTTCATATTGTGGTTTTTTAAATAAAAAAATGTTCCTTTTTTGATTTTGTTACAATATAATGATAAACTTGCACAACAATATTGTGATTATACAATTATAACGCAAGTTTCAAAAAGACTCCCAACACTATTTATATTGCTTGAAAATATTGATGAAAAAGTTTCATTGTAGTAAAAGAATAAACAATCCTACTCAGGTGTTGTCTAGTATGTTGTCCTGGACATTTCATGGTGAGTAGAAATATTATGTGTTTGACTGGACTACAAACAAACACAAAGTGAATGGGTGACAGACCTTCTCCATCACAAGTCCAGCGTCCTGAAGCTTGCCCAGAAATGTCTCTCGCCACTGTTTGTGCGTTACAATAGTCTCGTCCTCCTGCGCGTCCAAAGACTCCTCCCACACCAGCACATAATCTGTCAATCCAAGTCCAACAGTGTTAAATTCAAACATCACGAGAAAGTGATGAGAAGAACAAGTACACAAATGAATGTATTCTCTTACAAAGTACAGAAGGCCTCCATTCAATTTTGCGTTACACACAACTGAAGTAGTTCAAGCCTTTATTATAATATTGATTTTGGCAAAAATTTGGAAAAAACAAAAATTCCTATCTAAAAAAATTAGCATATCATGAATATGGGTGTGACGATATATCGAAAAATTGATATATCGTATATACGTTTGTTTTTTTATTAGTATCAATACTTAATAAATGGCTACATTACGCATCTCCATTCTATTTATCATGAAATAAAGAGTTTTTTCATTTTATTTATGCCATAGATTGGCATATTGTATATTTCTGACCAATATATCAATAATCGTCATATCGTGATAAAATCGTTATCGTAATATCGTTATCGTGAGCTTTGTATTGTATCGTATCGTGAGGTACCCTTAGGTTCCCACCCCTAATGAAAAGGTACTCTAACCGACCTAATCATCTGAACCAACTAATTAACTCTAAACACATGCAGAAGATTCTTGAGGCTTTTAAAAGGGTCAATGCAGCTATCAGGAGATTTTGGAGCACTTCATGCTTCCATCTGCTGAAAAGATTTATGGAGATGAAGAATTCATTTTTCAGCACGACCTGGCACCTGCTCACATGCCACAACCACTGGTACATGGTTTACTCACCGTGGTATTACTGTACTCAATTGGCCTGCCAACTCTCCTAACCTGAACCCCATAGAGAATCTGTGGGACATTGTGAAGAGGAAGTTGAGAGTCACCAGACCCAACACTGTGGATGAACTTAAGGCCACTATCAAAGCATTCTGGGGCTCCATAAATAACACCTCAGCAGTGCCACAGGCTGATTGCCTCCATGCCACGCCGCATTGAAGCAGTCATTTCTGCAAAAGGATTCCCGACCAAGTATTGAGTGCGTAACTGAACATAGTTATTTGAAGGTTGACTTTTTTTTGTCTTAAAACACTTTTCTTGTATTGCTTGGATGAAATATGCTAATTTTTTTAGATAGGGATTTTTGCCAAAATCATCAATATTAAAACAATAAAAGGCTTGAAATACTTCAGTTGTGTGTAATGAATACAAAATATATGAAAGTCTAATGTTTACCAGTACATTGCAGAAAATAATGAACTTTATCACAATATGCTAATTTTTGTCAAATATGGTGCAAAGGGGATGTTGTTTACTCTTCTTTTACCTCTGACTAATCGCGCAAAGATAAATTCTACAATATTTATTAACACTTTTTTCTCATTCCAACTACCAGAATGCTCAACTGACTAGATCAAAGGTTTCACTGTAGCTGGTTGGACTTATTTGGCATTTGTAATAATTTATGCTGTTTTATTCTGATTTCTAAATCTTTTTTTATCAGTCTAAAAACAACTAAAACTCTGTATATCAGTGATATGGGTTTCCTGTCCCACATAGTGCATGCAGTGAACTACTGTATATTGATTGACTGACATTGACTGAACCGAATGAAATACAAGCTTACCCACTTTGGTGCTTCCATCACTAAACACATTCTGATCCTTGGCCTGAAACGTAAACACAGATATAAAACTGTAAAAAAACATGTTCTGGCTCATAAGTGTTCTGTCCTCACTGCAGGCCAACTTGAGGAACCTAATGTACAAGTTTATGTGTCGCCTGGACAATAGTGCAAACATGATGATTTTAGTGTTGACAAGAAGAGCTTACAGTGATGTTCGTTATACCTCTGCACTGTGGAAACACTGGTATAGATGCCTCCTCTAAAGAGATTTGGGGACTTTTATTGTTTTATGTTGTCTGTTTTTAGTGTGTTGTGTCTTGTCTATTTTTTGTGTTCTGGACTACGAGTCTGTAATAAAAGCTATCTATCTATCTATAACCTTAGCTCCATTACTATTATAGAGGCACCCACATTTTTTGTATCTAGGCATGAGTACCTTGTTCTCCAGTTACCTTGACAATTCATAATTATCATCTGAAATCCTACTCACAGGTGAGCCTAGCCTGGTCTTAGCCACCACGAGCAGATGGCATGGCTCGTGGTGGGATCAAACCCAAACCATTAGGTCCAAAGACCAGTGCTTACCAACTGAGCTACTGTCGCCCCATTGTGAGCAAATCAAACAGATTTAATGACATTCTGAATTTCAGACTGTTTTGAAATGTCCTTCATCCCCATAACAAACAATAGTTTTGGTCTGAGTCCACTACAGAAAGACAGAAAGTTAATAATGTTAATGCCATTTTATGTGGATTTATTGTTATAATAAACAAATACAGTACATATGTACACTATGTTGTCAATTATCTTTCCATTCAAACAACCATTTACAGAAATGGCATCATTTTGCCGATAGTTACAAATGCGATTAATTACAATTAATTATTTTTTAAGCTGTAATTAACTCGATAATTTTTTTTTATTGTTTGACAGCCCTAGTTGTGTCCTTAGGCAAGATACTTCACAAACATTGCCCAATGTAAGTCTGGTGTGTGAGTGAAAGGTTGTTGGTGCCTGTACGAGCACCAACAACCTTTCACTCACACACCAGACTTACTACAACCACATACTGGTGCACAGTTAGTGGTGAAATAAAAAGCTATTTCTGCTGGGGTTTATCTATGATCTGTGCTTAACAGACATCAAATAAGTAAATGTATCATGACAGGAACATGAAACACTAATACATGCATAAGTATTCCTGCTTATAATTGTACATTAACATGGACCAAATGTCTATTAATTTAACTAATGTATAATAAATAAATTAAGCGAGAAGAGAGAAGAGAAGAGAGCCGAGAGAAGAGGGCATCATTTTCAGATATCATTTGATTAAATTATTCTTAAAATTAATAAAGTACGCTTTTGAAGCTCATCTTAGCCTGGTCGTACCACACCATAGTACAAATTACATTTCGTACTAAGGTCTGGAGGTGCTTAGTTGAGCTTCGTTAACAGGTCTCCCACCTGTTAACGGAGCTCCTTTTGCAGGTTGAAACGATTGGATCTGAGTTTACCATGACGTATGTAATACGCCCAAGTGAGTCGTTAGCATTTAGCCTTTAGCCTAGCCATCTCCTTTGCCGCTAACAGAGCCCGTGGGGAGTAGCGCCACAATCTTTGCCAGCAATGACTTTTGCTATACATTCCTCTTGCTACGGCTTCAATTTCTTCATAGAACCAAACTGGAATACTTTACGGTGGCTGAAAGTAGATAGCACTCTCGCCTATCAGAACAGGGCCTATCTGAGTGGAGTTTGCGTGTTCTCCCCGTGTTTGTGTAGGTTTCCTCCGGGTACTCTGGTTTCTCCTACCACTAAAAACATGTACAATAGGTCTGGCATGCCCTTCCTGTACTGGCAACCCCGCTCCCATCTCTGTACGGAGTGAGAGGACATACTGTATGCCCACAATTGTAAACCTCTTAGTGACTCTGGTCTGTGAAAGACAGTATATAAATAAAGATTACTTACTTTTACTATCGCATTCTTTGCCATAGCCAAACTACAACCAGCCCCTTCGGCGCAAACTCTTGACGTCACTCACTACTAACTACAACACGCGCCTCCCGTGCTCGCTGATTGGTCGGATGGAACTCTACCGACGTAATCGCAAACACAGGGACCAGACCCAGACGTTACATGCAGGGAAATTATGATTGACCGGAGTGTACGGATGGCTAAGGCCAGGCTAGGCTCACCTGTGAGTAGGATTTCAGATGATAATTATGAATTTTCACAATAGGTGCACTGAGGGTGAGGCGCAGCAGTAACGTTTTGCATATTTGCATCTGAACAAAGCACCACCTTCCACATGCTTTGCTTCTTGAAGCTTTATTTCAACATTGACTTTCTTTTTAAACTCATCCATGCAGGCCAAATGTGTAAACAATATGACTAACTTTAGCCCCATATACATACTTAAGTATAAATCTATAGTGAAAAGTATATATTTAAACTTTAAGTTTAAATGTTAACCTCTTGGCTAGTAATGGAAAGTAAAATGTCCTTCATGGGCCATTGTTGGGGTCCTCTTGTGACCCTGAGGTCCAAAGCATCTGTTTGCCCACCCAAACTGTTTGCCAATATATAAGTGTGTCTCACCTGGTTGATTGCTTCTGCGTTTGCTGCCTGCCCTGCCATGGCGTTCAGCAGGTGCCACCCTCTATCTATGAAAGCAAAACCCAGACCGTGTTGGTGGTGTGTCCAAAGGAAGACAAAGTAATTTTATGGTTGCACCTCCTACAACAAGCATAACAAATCAATCCATGAATTCAGCATGAATTCAGCACTAATTAGGGAGTGATCCCACACTCAAACGTCTCATCACCTTATTGATTGTGCATGCACACAAAAACTATAACTGCTGCGTGCTGTTAAAACTTCCATTTGTGCTATGAAAGTTTTTTAATGATTAGCAATTTAACAATCAGCTGATGACGTCATCAGCCCCCATTGAGCTACAAAATGTCCCAAACGATGGTTCTAAGTTTGTGCTGCTTTGTGTTTAATCCAAGTTTGTCTTTTGAAGCAGCATAAAATTGATTGGTTCTGGCTGGTCCTTTACACAAATAGTCTAGAATGATGATCCACCCAGAAGAAAATCCTCCAATATACCTTGAACATCAACATAAAAAATTCCAGCTCAAGAGTAACAGCTGAACATTTCAGAGTTATTGTAGCTCTAACAGGTTTTGGATATTTTTCTAAGCCCAGGGAGCTGCATATAGGAAAACGCTTCAAATCAGTTTTAATTCTGGGGATGTTAAACAGAAGCCGCTGAGAGGAGCAGGAGGTGTACCCACTGTTTCCTCATAAACAGTTGTCGCCTTTTGCAACATTGGCAATTTTCAGAACGGCCAAACTTGGATTCCAAATGCTCAGGGCTGGAGAAGTATGCAATTCTCACAATTGTGGTGAATGACAAAACATGTATCAGAACTGCCATCACTTTATTCTAGTGATAGGCATATCACTAGAACAATCTGAGGCTTTCCTTGCCAGACTGTTTCAAATGTGTCAAGCCTCCGAGCTCAGACTGAGTTAAAAATTCATACCATTTCATCTTCTCAGATAACTATGATGAGAGCAATCCCACTACAGTAAAATCGCATATTGCTGTTGTTAATCTATGCTTTATGAAATCCTAAATTGAATACAAGTATGTTTACATCTATAAACAATTTACTGAAGCAAAGGGACTGCACTTTATGCAAATCACAGGTTTTAAAAAAAAAACAATTTTCAACAGTTGTCAGTTTCAGTTGGTTTCGTTTTTTATTGTTGTTTTATTCTGAAGGTGTGTGTTCTTTATCATTTACAAATTCATGGAAATGTTTGGCACCAAATCACAGGTTTAATCTACAATTGTGTAAAAACCCTCTTTTGTAAAAATATATATTTAATCTGTTAAATGGATGACTCCTCCAGGTACAAGATGACAAGTGATCACACCATCCATCCATTTTCTTCCCCTCAATCCATTTCTGGGTTGGGGGGTGACAGTCAGAGCTTCACCCAGTACACATAGCACCAGCCCCTCACTGATCCTCTTGCAGGTGGTGAGTCCACAGGAGCCTTGATTATTCAGCAGGGGCTTCAGGCAAAGTGGGATTAAGTGTCTTGCCCAAGGACACAACGACAGCAGGCATCAGTGAGAGTCGTGAAGTTGGTATCGTGGTGGGCTCGAACCCACAACCTTCAGGCTCTTAAGGCCAATGCTCTCGCCCTTGTGATCACTCATAAATATAAAGAATACTTTTTTAGGACGGTTTGCAGCCGAGTGTGAAGCGGCTGGGATGAGAATCAGCACCTCCAAATCCGAGGCCATGGTGCTCAACCGGAAAAAGGTGCCTTGCCCTCTCTAGGTGGGTGGAGAGGTCCTTCCTCAAGTAGAGGAGTTCAAGTATCTTGGGGTCTTGTTCACGAGTGAGGGTAGGATGACAAGCAGATAGGTGCAGCGTGCGGTGATGCAGTCGCTGTATTGGACCGTTGTGGTGAAGAGGGAGCTGAGTCGAAAGGCAAGGTTCTCAATTTACCAGTCAATCTTCGTCCCCTCCCTCACCTATGGTCCAGAGCTTTGGGTATTGACCGAAAGAACGAGATACAAGCGGTCAAATGAGCATCCTCCGCTGAGTGGCTGGGCGCTCCCTAGATATAGGGTGTGGAGCTAAGTCACACGGGAGGAGCTCGGAGTAGAGCCGCTGCTTCTCCACGTCGAGAGGAACCAGTTGAGGTGGCTCGGGCATCTGTTCCGGATGCCTCCTGGACGCCTCAGGGAGGTGTTCCGGGCACGTCCCACCGGGAGGAGGCCCCTGGGAAGACCCAGGACACGCTGGAGGGACTATGTCTCTCAGCTGGCCTGGGAACGCCTTGGGGTCCCCCCGGACAAGCTGGAGGAAGTGTGTGTGGATAGGGAAGCCTGAGCGTCTCTGCTTAGACTGCTGCCCCTGCCTGCCGCGTCGGCAGAGGATGAAGCGAAAGAAAATTAATAAAATTGAATATTTCTTGACAAAAATGGCAGAGGTTCCAAATATATCAGTCAAAACTGATGATGCATGCCTTTGGTTGCTTCTTGGATACGTAACTGTTACCAGAATACCCTATATTCTTTTATAAATGCATAAAAAATAATATTTACAATAATTTGCATGTAGGCATGGGAAACGACATTTAAATGGGTGGCGAGCTATTAGTAGCTCTCAAGATATAGGCTGGAGACTTCTGCTGCATTGATTGAGAAATGAGGTCTTATTGATTCTGACCAGCAGATGGCGTGCTAATACTACTTAATCGGATAGATGGAGGTTGTAGCTATAAATGTAATACTTACACAGAGTCTTGCACTATATAGCAGCACTATGTAATGAATTAGGGAAATAATGTGGACATTTGGACATTTAGCTCACGTGTTTAAAGTACAATGAAGCAGTGTAATGCATTTTCTAGCCAGGTGGCGTATGCGCATGTTATAAAGCTGACAGGCCGACAGAGATGCCCCTAGCAACGCACATTAGCAACAGAGGAACTTTGAGCGCCAGTTATAATGAAAACATCATTTGAACAAACGTATTACACACAAAAACCGCATTAATTTGTAAATTAACCAAGAACGGGCTTTTCAAAAATATGTGTACTTACTTGGATCTCCACAAGGGAACATATACAGAAAAATCATAGTTTAAAGCATTAGCGTTATCTTGTAACCGTCAAACAAGTACTTGAGTCTAACACAAAGCTCTTAGTTTTGCACATAAGTGAACAATATTTTCAAACGTCTCTTTCTAGTCTTTAAAATCTCGCACACAATAAAATGTAATTTAAAGCAAGCCTACCCTTCAGAAACTTCTCAAAGATCTTCTGTGGAGAGGAACATGAAGCAACGGTTACCACGGTGACGCCTGTCCACCACCTGGAGCAGACCCTTCAATGTGTCTATGAGTTTTGCCCAATGAGTTATTATTAACATGGGACAATGTATAAATACGAAATATGTATACTGTTCGTCAACTAATGTTTATCGATAGGGAAGTGAAATGTGCATGGATTATAATAGATCTGTTAAGAACTTCTTCCGCGGCGTTGGTGTCGCGCCTTGACAATTCCAGACGTGCATGGTACGTTAAATATTAACGGACGTATCATTGCTAGGAAGGCTGCCAAGTCAAACTGGTGTTCCCCCCGCGAATGAAGGCACCTGGTTGCAAATACATAAATGGCTCCTATCTGGATTTGCAAAACCAATATTAAAATATAACACTGGTAGTGGGTACACAGAATGCACTAAATTACTTGTTTTTTATGCTCAGAACGGTCACTGTAGGAGCCAGAGTGAGTAGGAGCAAAACTTTGTGAGCACTTCCCTTTTGGGCAGTGGAGCTACTCTTTGAAACACCTTAACAGATGATTGTTCAAATCTGATTGCATTTTAAAATCTGTATAAAAGTAATGAGGTTGTAGTGGAGGAGGTATATATATATATATATCGTTATAGGAGCCTCTGTTGCCTATATATATATATATATATAGGCAACAGAGGCTCAGTCGGTAGAGCATTGGCGTTTGAACCTGAAGGTCGTGGTTTCGAGCCCACCATACGAGCTACTTCACGGCTCTCACTGGTGACTGTTGCCGTTGTGTCCTTGGGCAAGACACCCCGAAGCCCCCGCTGAAAGAGTTCAGCTCCTGCGTACACACCACTGTGTACGCAGGACTGTATATATTAACACCACACCACCTGCAGGAGGATTAGGGAGGGGCTGGTGTACTGGGTGCAGCTCTGACTGCCACCCCTCGACCCAGAAATGGATTAAGGTTTGGTAACGTTATTGAACCATTTTGTTCAAATTCGTCTTGTCTGTATTGCATCAATGACAATAGACTGTAAGCAGGGGTGTACATGTTCTTGCTGTCAAGTAAACGCCAACCCTGTTTCATTCAGCCCTTTTTCTAAACATTGAAATATATGTTTTGTTCGGTAAATTGTTTTGTACATTCTGTGAACAAACCATATTAATGTATTAAATTATCATGTGTTCCATTTAAAGGCGCAGTTAGTGTGTTTAAATTAATCACCTACATTCGTCCTCTCTCCAATTATCTTCGAGCGCATTATTGAAATAAGTCCATCTGTGAAAAACGTCAAGAAAATATTGTACCAGTAAAATAAATTGCAATTATTTTGATTTTACTTCGAATGCAAGTGCATTATTAGTTTCTAAACAGTATGCAGAAGTGGCTCGCAGCAGAAAGACGATAACCGGAAGTCACAGATGCATTTTACCGAACACGGAAGTATATGGTGTTTGCTGCCTCTCGGCTCCTCCGAACGCTGCTCTGCGCTCTGCTCTCCGCTGCTGTGTAGTGTCTTGTTTGGGGGGATGGGGCCGCGCTGTTGACGATGAGCTCCTTGCGACATTTATCATTCGGATAACAAACATCTTTGTATGCCTGGACACTCTCCCAAACTTTCGGACCACGCAGGAGTTCAGTCTGACCGTGTGGAGCAGCTCTACGCCCGGGTAAAGTCGACGAAATGTTCCCCACCGCTGGAGGTAAGCGTTAGCATTAGCCTCAAAGCATGCTAACCAGACGAGCAAACGTTTCTCAGCCTTTACTCGTGCTGTTTGGTTGCAATTGCATTGTTATTGACATTGCATTTATTCATATTCGATCTCTAACATTGTCTAGTTGGCAATGGCGTTTTTAACTCAAGGTTTGAGCTGCGATTGCGTAGCATTTAGCACAGAGGAGCTAACGTTAAGCCAGCTTGAAACAAAACGAGCTGTTGTTAGCTTAGCAGAGTTAGCCAGGAACCTCGCGGGCTTGTTTTGAGACCATTCTACCCGACCCTTTAGCAAAGTATTGTGTTTTTAAATCGCTTTTTCCATTACATAGTCATCTCGTACCATTGTGTCTAGCTCGTACCAATGTGTCTAGTTAACGCTACGTGCTTACGTGATTGTGGTTGCAATATTATCGTAAAGGATGCTGTTTTTCATAAAATTAACATTCACTACATACTGTCCTAGTAAGTAGTTGTAACTTCTTTATTTCCATTATTTCCTACATGTAATCGTCATAAATGGCACGTTTCAACACATTATCAACAGCATCCTTCATCCATGTTCATTGAGGATGCTGATGAAAATAGCCTGTAATTTATTGAAGCACTGTTGGTGATCTATAGAAACAGAAACGTAAATGTCGGTTTGTCAGACTTTTTATTGAACTTGCGTTAAATAAGACGGATCTGTTTATCTTATCTAGTTTGTTAATAACTGTAAATGCGTGAATTAGGTGCCCTATGTTACCATCTATGGTAGGAGGTTCAATATTTAGTGCAAATTATATATTGAATGCCTCTGAAAAAATATGAACCTGGATGCTGAAAACCTATGAGTAATGTGGCTCCAAGCCATAAAGTGGAGTGGCTCGGAAAGAAGCTAATAATTTTGTGGGTCCTTGGTAAAAATGTCTCTCAATCAAGTTTAAAATGTTTTTTATTGACCTATCATTATGTAGAATCTGTTTTGTCAATCATTTGTCACCTTAAACTAAAGGCTGATTAGATTCTATTTTTGAAACTATTCTCCCTGTCCTGGTGTACAGGCCTTTGCAGGTTATGGGGTGCATTGGGTGTTGCATTAGTAGCTTCTGTTGTTATTGATAAGGGAGAGAGAATGTTGCACCTTATTGTGCACTAGTCTGATAAGTCCTTCTCCAAACACCCTGTTGAAGACATTCTGTTTCATCTTGTTTTCTTTTTTTTTTAGCTGGTGAAATGCTTGAGGGGCCGCGCTCCTCGGGGTCCGCAAGTTCAGGTAAGTCTCAATAATTAATTACTAGTGAGTAAATTAAACACGTGTCTGTTCCGTTTTCATAAAGTTGCTTTTCAATTAAATGACATGAGGCAGTCTGTAGAAAACATGAAGGTTTTCAAGCTAACCCATTCCATTGCAACCACCACATCTGTCACATGAAGTCTTAAGTTCCATTACTTCTAGTAAATGTCACCAATAATCTGTGTAATGCAAGCATTTCTTCTTCCAAAAACGAGTTTTGCAAATTTAACCATAAGAATGGGGGATGCAGCTCTGCCCATTTGATTGCCATGTGGGTGAACTTTTAAGATGCTATTTCCATGGTTTTTAATGAGTTCATAAAAATTCTTATTACTACTAACAAGTTGTATTATAATCCGTAATTTAAATGAAAACTTGAGCTCATTGATTCAGCTTATGTATGAATTCAGGCCATATAAAGTGCTGAGTAGAGACTCCTCCAATCACAGAACGAGGCTGCGTCCTCTAGCCTCTACAGCGCTGCTAAACCCAGTAGCATGTTAGCAGAATTGGCTATAACTCCTCTTACTGTTACTGCTTACACAGCAAAACAGCCCAAACACAACGGTGAACTAAAGCGAAAAAATTATCAAAGAAGAAATTAAGCCCGGGTGAACATAGCTAGCTTACATCGTATCCTCTGGAGAGAATTGTCTATGGGAGAGACCTGCGGGACCGCCTCGGACTACATTCTGACGCGGAACTAGCGGGAATCTTTCAGTTATTTATTTTCTTAGCAGTGCGTTGCTTTTGTACTATTTCATCAGTGATTGTTGTACAGCTTACAAGAAGTTACGCTCATGCTAATGTTCGCAAATAAAACTAGATGGCTCCGTGGAATGAGAGTGTAGGGGAAATGAGAAGCCTGTTAGGGGGCGGTGCTAAACATTCAAACCTTGCAGAAACGGGTATAGCTCCTTTAACGGCACACTGAGCCTGGATATTAAAGCAACAGTGATTATAAGTACTGCATGGAAGTAATACTATCCATATGAAGTAGGGCTGGTCGATAAAATGTTGATGATATATATTGCGATAGACATGTGATCAATAGCCATAGAAAATGGGGTTTATTTAATGTTTGATTTCACTTAACTCGGTTAGAAAAGAAACGGGAAGCAGAGCCAGAAGCACACAGCATTCTGGGGGAAGTAGGCAGGTGCTTCTTGACATATCACGGCTGATTATGAACCGCAAGGCATTGTACGAAATGCAAACAAATTACAGAAGGCTAACGAGCAGGAATGAGTGTGCACGGCTATATTGTAGATCCATGGGCACCACTCAGGATTGCAGATGAAAAATGGAACGGTCTCGTGACCAGTTTGGCAGTATTTTGGATTTAAAGTCTGACAATCTTGTAATCGGCTAAGATCTTGCCAATCTTTTTACAAGCACACGGGATGAAGATTTCCTGTTTATTCAATATATGGCTTTCAGCAGAGCTATACCATGATATATGTGGTCTTTAATTAAGTTATTTAGCTGTAGTGTGTATTCTTCTTGTTAAATGTAGCTATTTAGTTCTTAAATTATAACTGGATAACAGACTTATTTACTCTCTTTTACAAGTCATTTTATGGTGTTTTAACTATTTTGATATGGGCTGCCTCTTGAAGCAACACAAAGCTTTAACTGCAGTAATTACACAATGTATAGAAAAGTGCACACTCTGTTGATATTGTGTGTAAAGACATTTTTTGGACCTGAAAAACGGAAAGTTGATTTGTTTGGAGAAGCACAATCTTTTCAAACTAATTGTCATTTTGCATTAAAATACAAATATTAAAAGGTAGGCGAAATAAATACAATATTTGAAATACTTAGAATTATGAAATTGGCAACTTTGGGGAAGATTTGAGGTTAATATAAGATAAGATGTGCTTTATTTATCTCACAGAGGAGAAATTTACATGTCACATTTGGCATGGATAGAGACACTTAGATTGTGCAAAAGGAGGAAATGTGCAAACATGTTACATGCAGGATATATGTACAATAAAGTGACAATAATTATGTGCAACAAAAGTGACAAGTGTCAATTGGAAACAGTGTCAATAAGTAGTGCAGGTTTTCCTGTGTGTGCCTTACTGCATAATTGAAAGTAATTATGTTGTGCTAATTTTATGTTAGAGATTTTTCTCTTGCGGTTCAATGCATATTGCATTTTTAGGTGAAAGACAAAAACATCGCAATAATATCAAATATCGTTCCAATTTCCAATATTGTGCAGCCCTACCCCTACTGACCACCACAACACATTTTCAACAGTTGCACGTGTCAGCGGCACATAGAGATAATGTAATAAACAATCCCCAAGTTTGTTTCACTCTGTCGGTGATCATAAAGATACTATCATCATAACAGCTACTTGTATTGTATATTTTGTGTGCATACTTTGCAGGTTGCTTTTGTGCTGTCGTTTTCTAATGAGAAATACTGCCACACTTTTGACATGTTTTAACTAGTATGATCACTAGGGGTGTGACAATCGATATCGCAATATTTTCTCCCGCAATTCGATTATCGATATGCATTTGCCAAATATCGATTTTGAAAAAAAATAGTATGGTATCAGTACTTAATATATGGCTACATTACGCATCTCCATTTCATTTGTAATGAAATAAAGTGTATTTTTTCTTTTATTTATGCCACAAATTGGCATATTGTATATTTCTGACCGATATATCAATAATCGTCATATCGTGATAAAATTGTTATTGTGATAATAGCATTATCGTGTATCGTATCGTCAGGTACCCTTAGGTTCCCACCCCAAATGATCACCTCTCCTGCTATTTTACAACAGCAGCTGTAATGACAGGGCAGTTTAGCAATCCTCGATACGTCAAAAATTATGAAATATCTGCCCGATCTCGTGATCTGATTGGGACATCCCCAGTTCTTGCTACTGTCCTGTATGTGCGCTATGAGAAATGTAAAGGATTTTTTACTTCACATGAATGACTACCCTGAATGTCTCCTTGCAGACCCCCCCTCCCCTCCGCTGCCAGAGTACGCTTTTAAGCCACCGCTGAGGCCGGACTTTGGCACCATGGGGCGGACAATAAAGCTTCAGGCCAACTTCTTTGAAATGGAGATCCCCAAAGTGGAGGTATACCATTATGACGTGGACATTAAGCCTGAGAAGTGTCCCAGGAGGGTGAACCGGTATGAACTCTTTGAATCTGTTATTACTTTGTTATCATAACTTAATAAGTAATCATATGTTTACAGTGAAATCGTGGAGCACATGGTTCAGCACTTTAAAACCCAGATCTTTGGTGATCGAAAGCCTGTGTATGACGGGAGGAAGAATCTCTACACAGCCATGCCACTCCCCATCGGCAGAGACAAAGTATGCTCTGAAGCTTTGTGTATGGCTGTTTGAATTGCACAGACTTTTAAACACAGGTCCTGTGTCCAGGTGGAACTGGAGGTGACCATTCCTGGAGAAGGGAAGGACCGCAGCTTCAAAGTGTCTATTAAGTGGGTGTCGTGCGTGAGCCTGCAGACCCTTCACGAAGCTCTGACCGGCAGACTTCCCAATGTCCCCTTTGAGACCATCCAGGCTCTGGATGTGGTCATGAGGCACCTGCCCTCTATGAGGTAGGCTCTCTGCTAGTTTATGCCCATATACACACGCAGGATTCGTACAGATCCTTGAAAGTTAATTGATAAAGTTATCACTGTCCTGCAACATGAATAACTAACGCTAGGCTAGCCACTGATATGGTTAGCCTGAGGTAACGTTAGCTTGAGGATTATAGTCTAAAAGTGATATAAGCCTACACCTCTCCTTTCCCAAATAGTGAGGCCTGCGTTCTGACCCCGGAGCCGCTCTGTAGTGTAGCGAGCGTCTCCCGCCTCCAGCGGCTGTGAGCCGCTTTGACAACAGCGAGCGCGCAGCCGTCATTATTGCTCATTAATGTACCCAGCGCAGACAGGAGATTCACTGCTTGCTGCAAGTCCATAAATCTTTTGCATAACCTGTGCACACTCTGTAAGAAACAGCGCTAGATTATTGGAGCCTATGGCCCCGACTCCACCGACTGCATAAAACGTACTACGTATTCGTCCAAACGTGTCCGTTTCATCTCAGTTTCCGTTTTCTCCATGAGGGTAAATAGAAGTGGCTCCACTACCCGCGACATACGTCTGTCTAACGTGCGTAGGGAGCAGTCCGTCCACTCAGGGTGCAACGGACGAAATAGAAACAATCCTATTTTTTACGTACGTCGACGCGTGTATGGTCCGTTTTCCATTGGAAATACAAAGGAAAAATATATTTACTACATTATTATACATGTATTGATATATGCTGTAGTCCTTGGTTATAAGTGTTTGTTAATGACAATGATTATTAACAAATGTGTGTAATTTATTTTCATGTATTAAATTGAAATAATTGTTTCCTGATCGTAATTCTACCATTTATTTTTCGCGTAATGTTGATATTGACTTGCTTTCAAAAAAGCCTGGATATGTTGGAGTTCTTTTCTATTTTCTCTCTCCCCTTTTTCCAATTGCTTTCAATAAGTTTTGCCTTATCCATCGCAACGTCCTCGATGCTTCAATATGCCGTGCTTTGCATAGATCATAGCCACAGCTCATGCAAATCACACCCCGCTTCTTCTATTTAAAACAAAGCCTCACGGGGTGCTGATAAACGCACAGCCAGAGCTGCGCGCTGCTTAAGCCGGTGTGGCCACTATTCCGTTTTACGGACGTCTGACGGGCAGCAACCTACGCGCGTAAACGGAGACGCGGCCGGTGGAGTCCAGCATTTAGGTAGTGACAATGTTTTTGCCTTTGTTTTCCCAAATGTAAAATGTGAACTAATCGGACCATAACGGGCAGTCTTTTAGTGTTTTTTTGTTTTGTTAGCATAATTAACCCATTGAGGCCGGGAACACATTCCCGTGTTTCTACCTTTCAATCCAGGAGCGCTGTTGCGCTCTTCTACCTTTTGCAGTTGTTTGCGCTGCGTACTTGAATGGGATTAACATCCACCATTATGACCCCGGGTGCAACTGTGGCCGCTTTTACAGCTCAGCGAACGCGCATCCGTAACGTGGTCATGTACCGCGGACCATAGACACGCGGACAGAATCATACTCCCCCGTCTCTCCCCCATGTCTCCCCCAAGTCTATTCACAAAGCGCAGCCAGAACTCACTGAATTAAAGCTCAGCTACCTAAATTTTTACTTGCATTGACAATGCATGTTATTTGTGCACAAAAGTAAAATGTTGTGAACAATTCAAACAAAACGTTCCCTTTTTACCTTGAAAGTGCTTGATATGTCCTTGAATTTTACATTTCAAAAGCTGTACAAACCCTGCACACACACAAGGATTTTCATAAACACGTATTATATCCCTCTGTTTTTAATTTAAAAATTCAAACATGTATCCATCTTTTTTAGCCATAATATGAATTAGGGATGTAAAAAAACTATGAATTTTCATGACCGACCACCAAGTCTCATTAACCGGTTGAAATATTCCACGTTCTTTGAAATAACAGCCATTTCAAGCCGCGTACTTCTCATAAGTGCATCTATGCGTTCTAATTGAGCGGCGCCAAAACCAGCAACAGCTTCGGCACCTTTGCGCACAGAGAACTTCTTTTTTAATCTTCCCATTCTTTTGTGCTGCGGGTTAAAGCTTTTTGGCAGCAAACGGCGACTCATTCACATGGTCAGAGCAGCAAGTGACGAGCCGCGTCTCGCAGATCTCCGCTAAAGTTTAAATACAAGTGATGTGTGTGGAGCTGATCTAATGCCAATTAGAATAGGAGGAGGAGGAGTGTGTGTGTGTGTGTGCGCGTGTGCATATGTGCCGCATGCGGCATGAGTCGGCCCGGAGTTTACTGATACATTGGCGCAAACAGCTAAGAGACGGACCCGCTCGTCACACCATTCGAATAGGGCTTAAAATAGCGTTATTAAAGCTGCACTAACTGACTTTATTTTTGTATTCATTACAAAAATGCTATCCATGTCCATGTAGTGCATTGGGATATACGTCCTTTTGAAGAAAAAGTAGCGCAGATTTGTGCGCTACTTTTATATTATAAATATTTTATATTGTAGATCGAGTTTTGATGAAACAAGGAAGAGATGTGTTTCGGGTCTCAGATTGTGACCAATCACAGCGGACCACTGGCCCCCACTTTCGTGAGAAATCTACAGGTCCGTTAGCATAGACAGCTGAGTTAGCACAACAAGCGGCGGAGCTAACCTGAAACTTTGTGTGTCTTAGTCACCTGTTACTGCTTACACAGCGAAACAGCCATCCAAAAGAAAGTCCCGTTCCTCCGCGTTCCTCCGCGGGGAGGGGAGCAGAACGAGAGAGGCCAGCGAGTCTGCTGCTTCAAAATCCCAAAGTCAGTTAGCTTTAAGACCGACAGCTTTGACCGTTTAATGCTGTGACGGTCAACCACCAGTTTAACGGTCACCGATTTACATCCCTAATATGAATTTTTATTTTTATTCATTACTTGACAAGTGGCAAACTTGTAATTGAAAAACCACACATAATCCAACTAGCATTAGGGACAAAATTGTGGCGTAGGGGTAAAAAAAAATCTGGTCCACAAAAAACCCTATGTTTGTTCCACTGACTGACGCAACTCCCCAAGCCCAAAGCCCTGTTCACTGCACCACAAAGGTGGCGGTGCACTGGCTGGACTTCTGTTTTTAACCAACATGAGGGCTCCAGCGTGAGGCTGTTTTAGAAGGGGAACAGGGCTAATTGTCTTTGATTTGTCATTGAAGTTGAGGAAAATAGTGAAAATGTAGAGAAGAGGAAGAGGGGCTTACGCTGTCCCGTTTGCTCCGCTGCTCTTTCTTCTGTGACGCAAACACCACTGTCTTAATGGAAATAGACTGTGTCCTTCATTCACAACAAAATTGCATAAAACATGTATTATAACATGAGCAAAACAAAATAATCTGTTCTCATTATATGTGTGTTTATCATAGGCTATATACATTCTACCTCCAAGATTGGTTTTGAAAATGGCAGTTGTTGACTACTTTGTGTGTTGCAGGTACACTCCAGTGGGACGTTCCTTTTTCACCCCCTCGGAGGGTTGCTCTAACCCCCTGGGTGGGGGAAGGGAGGTGTGGTTTGGCTTCCACCAGTCTGTTAGACCGTCTTTGTGGAAAATGATGCTTAACATTGATGGTTGGTGTCACGTTTGTGGGTGTATTATTTGCCTTAATGTTTCTATGCATCTCACCAGTGTCTGTTGAACAGTTTCAGCCACTGCTTTCTACAAAGCCCAGCCTGTTATTGAGTTCATGTGTGAGGTCTTAGATTTCAAAAGCATTGAAGAACAACAGAAGCCCTTAACAGACTCCCAGAGGGTCAAGTTTACAAAGGAAATAAAAGGTCAGAAAACATCAGCAGTTGTGATTGTTATTGTAATTAGTCATGTTTTTCAATGATATGGTCTTTTGTAATTGTCAGGTTTGAAGGTGGAGATTACTCACTGTGGGCAGATGAAGAGGAAGTACAGGGTGTGTAATGTGACGAGGCGGCCAGCCAGCCATCAAACGTGAGTCACATCTCCAACATCTGAGCATATGAGTTGCACATTTGTTCTAACTATGGTTTTCTCTAGGTTTCCTCTGCAGCAGGAGAATGGTCAAACTATTGAATGCACTGTGGCACAGTACTTTAAAGATAAATACAAGTTGATTTTGAGGTACCCCCACCTCCCGTGTCTTCAAGTGGGACAGGAGCAGAAGCATACCTACCTGCCTCTGGAGGTATGTTCTCAGAATCACATTTCACCTCATTATCACAGGACTCTTTGTACATCACTTTTTAATTCAATCTTTTAATTGGTCAGGTGTGCAACATTGTGGCTGGACAACGTTGCATTAAAAAGTTGACTGACAATCAGACCTCTACGATGATTCGGGCTACTGCCCGCTCTGCACCAGACCGGCAGGACGAGATCAGCAAACTGGTATGACTTCTGCCCTCTCAAGGCACAAACAACTTATCTTTACTGGTGATAAACTAAACCTACCATCATCATATCCTTGTTCCCATTTGAAGATGAGAAGTGCCAACTTCAACACTGACCCATATGTGCGTGAATTTGGAGTGATGGTGAGGGATGAGATGACTGAAGTGAACGGGCGTGTCCTCCAGGCTCCATCCATTCTATATGGAGGAAGGGTAGGTTAATCATCATCTGTACATGCCCTTAAGTGAATACTAACATGTAATTTTAATGGCAGAACAAAGCAATTGCCACTCCTATACAGGGAGTGTGGGACATGAGGAACAAGCAGTTCCACACAGGTATTGAGATCAAAGTGTGGGCCATCGCCTGCTTCGCTCCGCAGAGACAGTGCACTGAGCTGCTGCTTAAGTGAGTCTTATCACAATATTCTTACTTGATGCTCTACTTGATTTCCTTGGCAGAAGCTTGAACTATTTAGTTAGTTGCAATTGAGAATTATGAATTGTCTTTTATAGGGCTTTTACAGACCAACTCAGAAAAATCTCGAGAGATGCTGGCATGCCTATCCAGGGTCAGCCATGCTTTTGTAAATACGCCCAGGGAGCAGACAGCGTGGAGCCCATGTTCAGACACCTGAAGTACACCTACCAGGGGCTGCAGCTGGTGGTGGTCATCCTTCCAGGAAAGACTCCGGTCTATGGTGAGAAGTAAAATCAGCTCCTGGGCTTTTAACCACTTGCTCTGTCTGACCAAATGCGTTTAATGCCTGTGTCCTGTAGCGGAGGTAAAACGTGTGGGTGACACAGTGCTTGGAATGGCTACACAGTGTGTCCAGGTGAAGAATGTTCAAAAGACTACCCCTCAGACCCTCTCAAATCTGTGTCTGAAGATCAATGTGAAGCTAGGGGGTGTGAACAACATCCTGCTGCCTCAGGGCCGGTGCGTACCATCCTTCCTCAAATATGTTCCACATTATTGACAAATGCCCCTTTCAAGCCCCTAGTTGTGTTCCAGGCCTCTGGTGTTTCAGCAGCCAGTCATCTTCCTTGGAGCAGACGTGACGCACCCGCCTGCAGGAGATGGCAAAAAGCCTTCCATCGCAGCCGTAAGTGGACTCCACATTTGCTGTAAATTAGCGATGTAATACACATTTTTGTTTTGGGTTTACTTTGAGTGAACTCTGAGATGAGTTTATGATCAGTTTGGTGCAAGTCACCAGAGCAGCATTACTTCAAGTTCAGAGTAGGAGAGAACTTGTAGCTAGCTAATGCAGCTAATGTGTTACATAGCCCATATATGAGGTGCGTCATTGTGTTTCCCCATGTGCAAAAAAAAGAGTCTGAGCCATTGCTCATTCATTTCAAGGTGGTCTCATCGACACTGAGGCACAAATAAGTGGAAATTTAGTGGATCTTAATAATCCAGACAGCCACCTTTATGATAGGTGGCGGTTTGATGTTGTAACTTCGGGACGGATGGAAGTAACTGGTTAACCCAAAGTTATCCGGTTTGGATGCGTTTGTTGAAGTGTAACTGATTTTTATTGTAATTATTATTTACGTTTTATTGTGCATTGGGGATACATAAACATACATTTACCTGACAAAGCAATCATTTCACATTTTGAAACATGGCATGCCAAAGTAAGTGTTCTCAATGAGCACTTTGTTGCCCTCAGGTGGTTGGCAGCATGGACGCTCACCCCAGCCGCTACTGTGCGACCGTGAGAGTCCAGCAGCATCGGCAGGAGATCATCCAGGACCTGGCCACCATGGTCCGAGAGCTGCTCATCCAGTTCTACAAATCCACACGCTTCAAGCCCACCCGCATCATCTTCTACCGCGACGGCATCTCAGAGGGACAGTTCAATCAGGTACCCCAGAGGAGCTCCAAAGACCACTTCGGAGCGCCCACACATTATATTTGATGGTGCTAAGTTTAGTGCTTTTGAAACAATAAAATGTTTATAATATTGGCCAAATTAAAGTCAATTTAATATTATTTTATTAAATAGCTTTAAATGCCAATTAGTTTTTAATTGTTGTCACTATTAGATCCATTTGTCAAGAAGAACTTGCCTGGTGCAGTGGTCACTGCTTTTGACTACAGTGATGCACGAGAAACATTCTATACCTCAAAAAATGACAGAAAATTTAAAACTGCCCTAAACGGGAAAAGGAACATGCTCAGTCACTCGGATCAGATGGTTTGATCACAGTTTCACTTTTGACACATTTATGTCATCAGTGTGGTAACTGGTTTGGTAGAGAGAATTTCATTTGATAGTCTTTTTCAGTCATTCTTTTTTTGCTTTTGAGATATAAGTCATTAAGTTGTAAATGGTTGAAAAACTGGTGTGAGGGATTTACACACACGATCAATCCAATTATCTATATCTCAGTAATAAATGTGGTTGCATGAGTACAAGTCCAGTAGCTGATGTAAGCTGTCCCTCAGGTTCTTCAACATGAGCTACTTGCCATCCGTGAGGCCTGCATTAAACTGGAGAAAGACTACCAGCCAGGCATCACCTTTGTGGTGGTCCAGAAGAGACACCACACCAGGCTCTTCTGCACGGACCGGAACGAGCGGGTCAGATATACGTCGATGCCAAGCCGTAATCTGTTTTGTTCACTGCTGATCGTGGAAACTTCTTTTCAACAGGTTGGAAAGAGTGGCAACATTCCTGCAGGCACTACTGTGGACACCAAAATAACTCATCCATCAGAGTTTGACTTCTACCTGTGCAGTCATGCAGGCATTCAGGTAAGTTTATCACTTCTCCCACACAAACTAATGGGCCTTTCAAAGGAAGGGGTAAGTTCCTTTTGCAGATAGAAAAGATTGGATCTGAGTTTACGTCTTGTATGTAATGTCCGAGTGAGTGGGGCATTTAGCCTGGATTTAGACATGCAATACATGCACCTGATAAGATATCTGCAGCTGTAGTCGGGCAGATTACAGACCAGTACAGTTCTCTTAGAGAATTGTCTGAAGTCATAAGTGCTTACCTTTCCTTTTTGTCATTAATATTCAAACAGACAATCTCTGGATGCTGGTTCTTTGCATTGAGTTGGATTAAACAATTGTCTTTCTCTGTGGCAAAAAACTGCCATTAAAAAAAATACTTTGAGGTCTACACAAATCATGGGGAAGTTGACAAGCTAACCTGCTTCAAGTCATGCTAAAGCCTCTGCATCTCGCGCTGCCCCATTTAGCTTTAATAGTGATACTGACGTGAATGCTAAACTGGATCACGCCTTGGTTAATATCCCCACGCAGGTTGCAGTCAGCAGCCTGTTGATGGATGCATCTCCTGCTATGTGCTGGTCCAGGGCCTGTTCTTGTATATATTACTGCTGACCTCTCGACCAATGAGATCACCCCCAGAGAATACAGATACTCTGGACACATAGGATGAAAATTTGCCATGTCTATTATCTTGATTGTATTGTATGTCTGGTTTTATTATGAATTATCAATTAATAAAGTAAAACAAAAAAATTGCGAGCCAGATGAATAACCAAAATCTGAACAAACAGGAGTTGGCTAATTGAACAAGTGAACCCACATTAGCCGTATTAAAAGTATCTTAAGCCTAGTGTATAGTCGTGCGGCGCGGAGCTTACGGTGGTGACGTGATGTCACTTGCGCAACGCAAGGATCACTGCGTAGCCTGCCGCGCACCCTCGAGAATGTCTAACTACGCAGAGAAGCTCCACTGTGATTGGTGTGATTACTTTCTGGGAGCATAGGGCGGCTGCAGGGAACGTGGACGAGGCACTGCAGAGCAGACTGCTTCGTGCTATGAAGCAACCGAAGGAAAAGCAGTTTTGGCTCATGGCAGAGCCTGATATACGCGGAGACTGTGCACTAGAGTTCTGTTGCATATCTAACTTATATATTACTTATAAACTATGCAGTTGTTTCTTTTGCACTGTTCCTGTTTTTGTTTGAATCTCCACTCGTAGCTTATCGCATCTATTGCATTCCTCCTGCACTCGTAAATAGTTCATGTTTGTCTCAGATATTTACCACTTATTGTTTTGCTGTTTGTGCTGAATACACTTCAATAACTATGTTTCCAACAAGAACAGTGTCTTTATACACAACATCAGTTAAATGAGTTATGAAACGATGAGTTTAGGACTGTCACATAAACCTACTGTAGAAACACATGTAATGGTCTCAAACAGCTTGGTTTGCTATTGTTTTTGTTCTGAAGATGAGAAAGTAGCAGCGTAAATGGGACCGCTTTGGTTTCTCCGGCAACTCCTGTGAGATCGCTATCATGTGGTTGAGTGTGGGATTACAGCATTCTCTTCAAAACTACGCAGGGGGTGCCTCGAGTGTACCAGCAACTGTGGCTACGTAAGGCCACCGCAACCGCAAACGTAACCAGCGCCGCTTGAGTGTACACAAGCCTTTATGTGTGATCTGTTTTAGTCAAAATGATTCATGCTTCTGTATTGTCTATATATAACAACACGCAAATCTTTTTCCTCTCTCCAGGGCACCAGCCGGCCGTCACACTACCACGTGCTCTGGGACGATAACCACTTCACCTCGGACGAGCTGCAGGTGCTCACCTACCAGCTGTGCCACACATATGTACGCTGTACCCGCTCCGTGTCCATCCCTGCGCCTGCCTACTACGCACACCTGGTGGCCTTCAGAGCACGTTACCATCTGGTGGACAAGGAGCACGACAGGTCACACATCTTTCCTTGTTCTTTTCCATTGACTTTTGATCGCCTTGGTGGCGTTCTGTTTATTGTAGACTGTAATGTTCCACTTCTGTCACTAGAGGGCAGCGTTGGTGAATCCTTGCCCTCTTATTCCATTGTTCATTATCTTTAGTTTCTCAAAGAATGTATTCAATTCTACCGGTGGTCTCAATTTTTTGGAGAGCTGTATTGAAGGGATGAGCAACAAAATATCAGAAGTATAGAGCTTTTGGATTAAGAGCTTTTAGATTAATCTATAAAATAAATGAGAATCAGAATCATTTTTATTGCCACGTAACAGGAAGTCACAGACTTGGAAATTGCTTTGGCTCAGTGCAACAGTCAGAAAGAGAGGTAAGGGTAGAGAAGGTATAATAAAAAAAGAATAAAAAGCACTTCTAAGGAATACATTTAAAATAGTTACAATTACTATTTACAATATACAAGTGCACATGGTGCACACAATGTAAGGTGGCAGCAGTACAGTGAAGTAAAGTGACGTATGATGGACAGTAGGGGTGGGAACCTAAGGGTACCTCACGATACGCGATACAAAGCTCACGATAACGATTATATCACGATATGACGATTATCGATATATTGGTCAGCAATATACCATATGCCAATATATGGCATACATGAAATAGAAAAATGTTAAGTGAAAAAATACACTTTATTTCATGAGAAATGGAATGGAGATGTGTAATGTAGCCATATATTAAGTATTGATACTAATTATTTAAAAAACATTTAAAAAAAAAAAAAAAATAAACATAAAAAAATAAAACTGTTCTTGTGGCGGGAGGTTCTAGTCCTGATGGACCGCAGCCTCCTGCCTGACGGGAGTGTTTGGAATAGTCCATGTGCAGGGTGAGAGGGGTCGGCTGTGATACGACCAGCCCGGCCTCGAGCTCGGGCGACGTACAGGTCCTGCAGCGATGGAAGGCTGCGGCCAATCACTTCCTCTGCAGAGCGCACAATGCGCCGTAGTCTCTGTTTGTCCCTGACTGTGGCTCCAGCGAACCACACGGTGATGGAGGAGGTGAGGATGGACTCTGATGGCCGTGTAGAACTGCACCAGCATCTGTGCAGGCAGCTTGGCTTTCCTGAGCTGCCGCAGGAATTACATCCTCTGCTGGGCCTTCTTGATGAGGGAGCTGATGGTCGGCTCCCACTTGAGGTCCTGGGTGATGGTGGTGCCCAGGAAACGGAAGGACTCCACAGAGGTGATGGGGGAGTCCATCACGGAGGGAGGGGGCGGGGGCGGGGACGGGGGGACAGTGCTCTTCCTGAAGTCCACAATCATCTCCACTGTCTTCTGGGCGTTCAGCTCCAGATTGTTACCACTGCACCAGGACACCAGCTCGTCCTCCTCCCTCCTGTAGGCGGACTCATCGTTTTTGGAGATGAGTCCAATGAGGGTGGTGTCGTCCGCAAACTTGATCAGCTTCACGGAGTCGTGGCTGGAGGTGCAGTGGTTGGTGTACAGGGAGAAAAGCAGGGGAGAAAGAACACAGCCCTGTGGGGCTCCTGTATTTATAATCCGAGAGTCCGAGACATTCTTCCCCAGACGCAATCGCTGCTTCCTGTCTGTCATGAAGTCAGTGATCCACCTGCAGGTGGAATCGGGCACGTTGAGCTGGGAGAGCTTGTCCTGGAGCAGGGATGGCAGGACAGGGAGATGTCATATAGGGCTGTCAATTTTTTTTTTCAATTGAGTTAATTACACCTTAAAAATGTATTCACCGCATTTCGCATTTATGGCATCGACAAAATTATGCCATATTTTTCTGTAAAAGGTGGTTTGAATGGAAAGATACATGCCAACATAGTGTACATATGTACTGTATTTGTTTATTATAACTGGCTCAGACAAACTATTGTTTGTTACAGATGAGGGAGATTTCAAAACTGTCTGAGGCAGAATGTCATTAAATCTGTTTGATTTGTTCACAACATTACTTTTGGGCACAACCAACATGAACTGGCAGTGGAAGGGAAAATAAGGTACCCCAGCTGTAATTTTTGCAAGTGCGCTTCGGGAGAAGACATCGTATCGTTTACAGCTTCTGCGCTGTATTTTTTGTGTGCAAAAGTTATGCGGTTATGCAAAGACACGCACATTACAAGCAGAGAATAGTTCTGTGCGTGTATGGTCTTGGATATGACGTTACGGCGGGGCCGTTCGCCGTGATCACAGCCGCTGGAGGTGGGAACTGCTGTCCAGAGCGCCCGCAGCTCATCATGCAGAGTTCATACAGGAAACGGCAGCAAGTGCCTCGCGGTCACGTGTGTATTCTTTTAAAACTTGGACTCCCAGAGGGCCTACCTGTTCTGTTGCCATCTCACACACGCATGTGTCCACAGCATTCTGAGTGTTATTATGGGATGCATGGGCATGCGTCAATCGCGTTAATTTCTTAAACGCGATTAATGGAAAAAATTAATTTACGTGCGTTAACGCGATAATTTTGACAGCCCTACATACTATTAATAGATATCTATTTTTTGTATTCTCATTAGATAAGAGTTCCTTTATTCGTCCCACAGTGGGGAAATTTCGATGTTGCAGCGCACATATAGGACAGTAGTACGAGCACACAGGGAGCACACAATATATACAAATAAGTAGTAGCTATGTTTCCTAGCTAACATAACTGGCTGTAGATGCTGCTCATTTTACAAGATCAATGTATTATAAGAATAAACTAGAAATATCAGATAAAAGTTGGTGCATAATGAAGACAAGGGAGCTCCATTGTACTAGGCAGCTAAAGAACAGAGACCCCTTATTCTGAGTTCACAGAAGGTCTACATCAGGGGTCCCCAAACTTTTTCCTGTGAGGGCCACATCAATCAATCAAATTTTATTTATAAAGCGCTTTTCATACAAAAGATGCAAGACAAAGTGCCTTACAGTTTGGTTAAAAACAATCCCGCCGGCCCATGACCCCTCCCCCCGACCACCCAACATACCCACCACAGCCAAACACACACACACACTCTCATGAACACACACACACGCACCAGTAAAACAATAAAACCATGATGAGAGACATAACTTTTCCCTTCTTCAATGGGGGCCGGGTCAGTTTGTAAAAGAAAAAGTGTGATTGCAGCGTTGAAATGGTTACTAATAGTTAAAAATGAAAAAAGTTCATAACTAAGGAACTTTTTATTGCAAAAGTCCAACTTTATTATCAAATACACATATGAGTGTGTTCACAGTAAAGTGTCAATTAAAGTATCTGGACTTAAAAACGTTATAAAAACTCTAAAACTAAAATTACTATGATAGATTTCAAACACAGACACATTGAAGAGATAGTCTGGATAAAATCAAAAGGAAAGATTAACAAATATATTTTTGGCGACATTTTAAATCACACAATCAGCCTCTGATTGGACCATTCTACTGTGACGCCAGTTACATAGAAAATAAAAAAGCGGCAGATGAAATCCCACAAGATTTACATGGTTAACACACATTTAAAAATAAATGACCCTTGAAAAAGGTATAACGGACAGAATGGTTTCCGTCCATTTTTCTCTAACAATTAAACTTGAGAAAAAAAAATTTGATCTGGTTTAACATTAAATTGGTTGACTATATGAAAGTATTACTTTTGTTCTACTCTATGAAAAAAAATAGAATCTATTAATCAAATGTGGACATCTAAAATACGTAACAAACTTCCGCAAAGCTCATTCCGTCAAATCATCACGTCTGTTACATAAAATAAACAGGGACGCTATAGGAAACTTGTCTAAAGTATAAAACAGTTATGTTCTAGCAGCTTCTAATGGACAGAGGTGTTTGGATACATGAAAAACATGAAATATCTTCGGATTATTAAAATTAAATTTTTGGCCTTTTGTCACACTTTTGTGCCCTTTAGTGTGAACAAGCTCATAGATGAAAATACTCTGCTATTGTTCAGGGGGCCGGAGCAAATGTAGAGGCTGGCCGGGTCCGGCCCGCGGGCCGTAGTTTGGGGACCACTGGTCTACATGGTTTTATGCTTTCTCTTAAACTCATAAACTGCACAATTTTGCGTCGCATGTGGATGAGCGGAGGGGGAACAGTTATATTAATTTAACACTTGCGACTTGGACAAAGCATATATTTGTAATAAAGATTAAATGGTTCCTTCTTTTTGTGTTGCAGTGCGGAGGGAAGCCACACTTCTGGGCAGAGTAACGGCAGGGACCACCAGGCTCTGGCCAAGGCTGTGCAGATCCACCAGGACACTCTGCGCACCATGTACTTTGCCTGAGTCTCACGTCGTCTGCATCATGTCCACAAGAGCAGTCTGTACCTCCACCTGAACATGCCACTGCTCACCACCCAACAATTTCTAATTTCTTGTCTAAAGTAGCTGGGCCTATTTGAAGCTGAACACAATTTGTGTTAATTGGTAACGTCTCGGTGCTCTTACGATCGGGAAGGTGTCATAGCCTAAGTGTGACGTTCCAATCTAATTCATCAGCCAATGAAAGACTAGTGCACTGACTGTCCGGACACGAGTGCTCTGAACCAAGGCCACATGAGCTAGCGGCCCCAGTGTTTTTATGCCAAATCTGAAGAGAATCTGGTGTTTCTCATGTAGTCTGAGCCATCTTCTCTATCATGAAGCAGTCCACACACAGACGGAGCCTCCCGCTCCCTCTGCGGCTCTTGTTGGTCTTTTGTTACTCTTATGCATGTAGTGGACACATTTTAGGCATTTACAACTATTGTTTCCTTATTTAATTTCTGTTACTTTTTTTGTTTTGGGGGGGTTCTAGCAGCTGCGTCGTGTCAGTTGTTCATATGTGGGTGTTTGCGTGAGGCAGAGTCTGACATTTAAATGAATTCCCCAGTTGCAGCACAGAAGCTTTGTTTTATGCAAATGACTTTATACTCTTAAATATAGTACTGTTGCTAATGTATATTTTAAATAAGCTTTTAGTAAAGGCTGCTGAACATATTCTAGATTTGTACAAAACTGTCCCACAAGTAGCCTAAGGCTACACTCTATTTGTCTACACATTTGAGATGCAAATATTTTCTTGCCTTTTAAAGACTTTGACAGTCTTTAGTAATAAAAAAGACATTTCCTTTTATGATCTGGCTGCATGTACATGAATAATTCTCTAAGAATTTAAGCTTTTTTGTCGTGGAAAGTGGAGGTTTACATATCTACATGCATCCAGCAGAGAGGCTGATTGCTATTTGAGAAAATGTCTTCATGTACATGTAGCACCAGGGACTCTCTAAAATCGTCTTTCGTCCCACAGCAGCAAGTCGTTTCAATGCCCCGACCTAATGTTCCAAATCCGCTTCCTACCCCATAACCCTAACCCTAACTTGATTGTGATGCTTAATCACAGAAAGTAAACTAGTTGAATATTTTGCTCTGACCTGGACAAAATGGGGAGATTTTAGGTAGTCCCTGTAGCGTCAGTTGAAATACTAAGCCAAGCTGGTGAATGTTGATGTAGTCTTTTGGTGGAAGCCTACATAATCGATCTATGCATCGTTTGTAACCAAGAGATTGAACATGTGTGTTGTGCGCGTCTCGTGTTAGCTCTAGTCTTTCAGGGTTCTTTTTCCACATTATTATTTTAGCCTTGTGCTTTTTTGCGTTCGATGCTTATTAGATTCTCCTTGTGGTGTGAAAGATATGTATCAGATTTTTTATTGCTTCATCTTTTCTAACAGTCTTTCCTAGCCAAACAAGATTATGCTCTTTGTTAGTAATAAAACGGAAGCACAATAAGTCGATTCTCGGTGCTAACAAGTTGTGGGTGGGACTGTCCCTTCAGTGATCCACAGAGCTTTCCCTTCTCTCTGCTCACATCTGACTGACTGACTGTGTCACTGGGCATTCTGAACACTGCCATGATGTCAAGCTGGTGTAGTGCTGGGCGTGGGGGTACGTGTGTGGAAGTGGCTGTAGGGCCTACCTCTTGTTACCTGTTCTAGTGTAATGGTAACATCACACTACGGGCCATTTCCACATAATTACCCCGTCTACAAGTTTTGTTTGGGATACCATTGCAAAAAGTGTCTAAGTTAAGTGTATTTGACTGCCTTAGATCTACATTCTCTACCACCTACTTTTTTTTATTTCAAATGATTTACTGAAGTCTTTGAAGAAATTGTGAGCTTCAAGACCTAACTCTTAAAATTTTTAAGTCAAGTTCCTTTCAAATATGATGAAATATCTTGTTAAAATGGATTGAAACACAAAAACTCCCTGTTCTCTTGATATTTATGCAGATAATTATGAAATCAGTAATTTTTTTGTATTGTCAAATAACATTTTTAACATGGTCAAATTATATATTTTCAACGTATTCATGTGTGTAGTTTTAATTGTTTTGCATTGTGAAGCTTACTATTTGACCAAATTGTTTTAATAGACAATGCGTTTCTTCACTACGCTCTGTGAGCCTATGCACCCATGTTTTTAAATCACATTTTATAAATCCATAATGACACAAATGCTCTCCAAAAAAACGTAATTAAACTTAATCTCTTTACCATTTATTTTTCCTCAAAAAAAAAAAAAAATATATATATATATCAGCATTTCAAACATGTGATACTTCCCCCTCACCGCCGACTCCGCCCCACCTTGATATCATTCCCTTGACTAACACCAGCACCTTAACAGACTGGGCATTTCAAACAAAATTTTCCTCATATGACAATTTTGCACTAAACTAGGCTCGTAATCGGCAGCTGACGCAACATTCATAAATATTTGAAAGGCCTGTCTTAGAGCCATCACTTTGACGTCCAGTTCAGTGCAGTCTTAAGGACATTATGCAAACTCTGCATGTTGACCATATTACCACATTGTTCCTCCATCCAAACATGGATCTTTAATGCTGGGTTAGTGAATGAGTTCTGGTTCAGCTTTGTAAACCATGTGAAAATGTTATCTTTTGACCCCAGCTTTAATGTATTCAAGCTCCATCCGATATCTAGAACTTCTGGCACAAATGGGCTGAAGCAGCGTGTGACGTAATGGCCAAAGCAGTTTCTGCATTTTTCAAACTGATGGCATTCATTACTACTCGTTTTACTACTTACTAAACTGTACTACTCAACCTGTCATTAAGTTGGTTTACAAGTAATGTCTTTCCAATGCACACTGTGCTGCCACAGCTCTGACTCCTGACTAACTGACTTGAAGTGAAGACACCAGCCTGACCCTCCATCCCTCCCATTGTCCCAGCATTGCTCCACACATAACTGGAATCACATATCAGGGCAGGCTGTACTGGCGAGCCTCTAGGACTAAATCTTTAGGGTAACAATGGCTGTGCCACCTGCCCCTCACCTTAGCATGAATGGGCAGAATAATGTGATTGGATAAAGATCAATTAGATGTGACTTTCCTAAACCCTTTGCCTTCCGACTGAATGTAATTTGAGCCTGTGTGGTCTCTGGTGTGCATTTCAATTCCCCCGACATCAGGGTGTACCTGCTTGATGCATAGACTGGTAAAGGGGTCTTTTTGATGGTGTTTGTTTTTTGAAAAATTGTCACCTAAGTGTTAATTTTTTTTAATCTTTAGTCCCATTTTAATTATCATTTTAATGTTTTGCCCAAAGCTACAAGCAACCCAACACACACAAAGAAATTTTGAATATGCTGTACAAGTATCTTCTTTTTTCATTCTTAAATTTGTCAGAAATGTGTCTATTTTTCAGTTATGCCTAGTCATAATTTTACAAGTGCTTTTCCCAATTTTCCAGACCAGTATGTAGTTAGACCATCACTGCTAATAGCTAGCCATACGCGTAGCAATTCCGGATTCTGTAAAACTTGTCTCAAAAGCACGGCGGTAAAAGTTCCAAAGACAAAATTTAATTGAAAAATCTGTTTCAGGGCCTTTAACATTTTTGTCATGTCAGCCAGCCTCATACGTTTTACTTGTATAGAAATTGACTAACAGTGGCCTAGCCTCAAATGTATCATCATTCATATTGGGCACGTGTGAAGTTCACACTATGCTACCTCAGCGCTGTGTCAGGTGCTAATCCCAAGTTTAGTCAAGTTAGCTTTATATGGTTCCCTTCAATAATGACCAAAACAGAACACGAGCACCTTTTTCCTGATGTGTTTTAAAATACGTGATCCATTTCTCATGGATCGGTTACATCATAGGGACCAAACATTGACACTTTTACATTTTTTTGTTTTCCAATTTTTAAGCACAATCATTTTAAGCTCATCGCTGTCTGTGCCATCACTCGGCAATAATGTGCGTGCTGCAATGTAACAATTACACTTTTAAATAACCATTTTCTAATTCATGTCAAATCTCTATTTAAGAATGTTCTATTGTAAGTAACTGCACAACATTGTGACAACGGTAACTCTCATAGTGGTTCGCAGGATTTTTTTGTTTTTTACAAACACAACTGAGGCTTGAATTTTATAATTTCTTTTTATATAAAAAAAAGCTTCAAAATCAGTTTCCACAGTTAAATGTTGTTTCTGCACATTTGACGACGCTCACAGTAAATTTTTGCTCATTTTAAATTTAAGTTTTTCTCCCCCGTAAACCAGTAACTGCAATAATCTGCATTTGGCAGCACTCTTTGTGCATTGTGTTGTTTTGCTTGTGACAATTTACAAAGGGAATGGTTTTGTGCGTCTCACATCGTACAAATTTGTTTTTATTGGCAGATGTCTGTAGTGGTCCTTCCTCGTGCCTTTTCCCGTAATCTCATCACCTGTAGGCTTTGGTTCCCTCAAACTTCAACTTGCAAAACAAAAACTAATAAGACAGTTTTTAATGCCATGCGTGTAAATGCTGCAAAGAACCATCAGTATTTTTTATTTTGCACTTTTAAAAGCAGACTCAAATAATGACCCATTTTTGGAATATGGGGGGGAACATCACAAAAGAGAAACTGACGAGGTATTTTATGCTATTAATAGAACTTGTAAGAAATGAGTTTTGGTGAGCTTTTGTTTAAATAAAAAGTTGGGTTATATCTATATATTCATGAAGTACCTCATAAGCCTGATATATGCTGCATTGACTGTTTTTCTTTTTATATCTTTCATAATGTCCAATGAGAATTGAATTCTTCATCAACGGAGGGTTTGTGTTTCGCTGTCAGCTCCCTGCATCAACACAATTTGTGGCCAAAAATTTACATACAAAATTGTGCAGATTTTTTTTAATATATATACCATTTCAAATATGCAACATAATTTTGTGCCAATTAGGGTTTTAGCCACATGTCCTCAAGTCATCTCTCTTCTTGATGAAAATTCAAGTCTAGGATTTTCCCCCAAGCTGGGAGCTTCCTTCTTTACCTCCAGCAGTCACCCACCCCTCATCTGACAATCATAGACACACAAACAGGATTTTTTATTTATTGTCAAATGAATCCCATGTGATGTCTTTCCAGTTGTTTTAGCTCCCATAAGATTTTCTTAAACATTTTGCAAAGACGGACTAAAAAAATAGAAGTAAACAATTTGGTCGAACTAAAAGACAATCACTTTGCATTTTCCACTAGTCACTTTTCTGTGAATGCAGCTCTATTTAAGATCAAATATTATTTGGAGGATTTTACTGCTCCACTAATTCTTAATGAGACATGACCAAAGTGGAGTGCGCTGTGGCCATTCCAAACCCTCCGTTGGTCCAGTCTTTCCCCTCTGTGAAAGCAGAACATGCCAAAAGTACCGTGTTCATCCATTCCTGTTGTATGCAGAGGTTCACTCCTTCTCTTGTGTTATCCTATTGACATTTGCCACATGTTTGATGCTTACAGAACACAACATGCTGTAAACCCCATAGAACAAATGTGAATACGTATCACTTAATATAGTTCACTCTTTGGCTTGACTGTAAGTTGCGTTAATAAAGGAAAATGTCAAAATGTCATTGTTTCCAGATTGTTTTATTTTTATTATTAGAAAATGTGCAGTCTAGTTACATTGGCAGATGCATAGGTTTGGACCATGGAGCTGGGCAAGGACCTGGAGCTGAGTAGTTACAGTGATGTTTGCTCAAGGCCATTAAAGCTGGAGTACCCAACTCGCCACAACAAATAAAACTAGTGACTCACGTGTTTGCTAGTATGCTGAAAATAACGTTTTTAAATAAAAAATTAAGATAGCATGTTGTTGTCTGATTTGTAAAACAAAGTTGGGTAGCTCCAGCTTTCAAAATGTTGCATTTTATTACAATTCAAGGCCTGAAATGTTTATCACGTGGCATTAAAATGTCCATATAACCCCAATGGTAAATGACAGTATACATTCAGTGATGTCCAATGAATGAGCTCCGAGCCGCAGAAAGGTTCTTTCACTTCTGTTTTTGAATACAATTCCCATGTCATACCAAAGCTTTGAGTTAGTCCCTCACTGCACAGTGCTCTGCTCCCCTCTGCAGCCCCATGGTTTACAGGGGGCAGTAGCTTCAATATAGCACCAAGAAAAGGGGAATTTGGTTATTTATGGCTTAAAGGTCCAGACACACAAAGACTGAAGATCTGAAATTGTTCAGTATTTAGGAATATGTAGTAAATAAAATCTAATACGACAAAGACATGCATCACAAAAAGATATTGGATCTTTAGGACCTGTTGCTATTAGTCTGTACGAGAACTGCTGACTGCAGTATTTACAGACAAATGACAAGTGCAGTTTAGTGGCCACTTGTTTATTTAATCATTCAGCCTAAGTGACACTGATTAGACTGACATTTAAAGATGATATTTTTGCACATGGTGTGTATCAATGTTCAATTCTAGGCAGTTACAGCGGTGTGCTCCATCCCACACAATGGGATGAACAAAGGTTGTCTAATCTATACTCAAGTGATGCTTAATGCTAAAAATGCAAAGTCAAATAATTGTATACGTTGGGGAATTTGGTTCAAAATTTAGCACAATGTAATTTCCCACTTCCACCTTTTATATGGAAGAATTGTCATTTATATTTGTCTGTTATTCCATTCATTATGTATATGTTCACATTTGTGCTTAAATTATTTCACAATAAAACAAGTTTGTTTTTGAAATGTAATGTACATTTTGGTAAAATATTGTGGTGCCCCAGAGTGGCACCTGAGGGCCGGAAATACTAAATTTCCACAGACACACATTTACAACACAACACAACACAAAGGACGTCTCGTATCCAAGTGAACTATCGCCGTATTCTGAATACAACACTCCAATGTAGGGTTTGATTTCTGGTTGAAGCCTTATATCTTTTTACATTTGGGGGTACATTTTTACAAATTCTCGGTTCTATTTACCACAAGTTTGGATATTATTTTCTGGTAGATTTTCTAAACAACTGAGTTCAGGTACGTTTGGATTGAGCCAAAACTGGATCAGTGGAAGAACTATTGCAGATTCATCTTTTTTATGTTTACTGTAGCAATTATTTGAATTTGATACCTTAAATATCACAAATTATTTATTTTTTATCTTGAGAAAAATGGTTTTAAATTGATTTGCGACATTTCCTGGTCCCATATTGATCTCTCAATAAAAATAATTGATTAAAGCAGGATGTCCTTTTCCACCTTTGCTTTGGCTCTGTACTCCGTGGCTGAAAACATGGTGAAAATAGGAAAAAAGTTTGCCACAATCTTTTTGCAATGAGACATAAAAAACATGGCATGACGTGGACAGGCCCTTGAGGTCTCCTGGTCTCATGTCATACGGCGTAAAACAAGTTCCCACATTCCTGCTCAGCACCACTGAACCGCGGTACAAAGGTTTCATCAAAAGTTGCAAAATTGATATTTTGCAGAGGGTTTGGAGCCGGAATGTCCACACGCATGTTCTGGTTGATGTCACATGATACAGTTGTGTTTTAATGTGTACATCCTCAGACGAAGCTTTGAGATGCTTAATCTTAATTCATCTCAGAAATAAAAGATTATGAATGAAAACGCCATCACTTTTTTTCTATTTTCAAATGATTATAACATTAGAAACATCTTCTGAAATGACATTCTTTACAATCAGTAGCTGCAGCTGGTAATTTGGTAATTTTAACAATTTGAAAAAAATAAAAAAAATCTACTCCCTCTGGTGGCAGTTTAGGGATAGGGCAGGCTGATAGAATAATTTATGAAAATAGAAAATAGAAAACATTTTTATTTAAATAATGGAAATCTGTCTGTGTGTGGACTTTCAAGCTCAACTATGGATTTCCACTTCAGATGGCTCATTTTGATGACATTGAGATAAGAAGTGCAAACAAATGTCTCGTCTCCAAGGGATAAGACCCATGAGGACCGCTTGTATCCTTCAGCTGGTCCTTCCCCAAAATTCAAGAAAAGAAGTTTTTACTTTAAAAAAAACAAAAAATAATCATAAATAAGTTGCAAGCGCATTATCGTTCTGTTTCATCCTCCGTGTTAGGGAGAAGTACCAGTGTGCAGTGCCATACAGCGGCCCCTGGGAGAGCCCTCATCTGACCCTCCCTCAGGAAACCCTTAGTAAACCCAGTTGACCGGGACCCACTGTTGTGCACTGCCCAGCTCACGCACGGCCCCCTGCAGGGCATCAAAGGCTGCGTCCAGGTTCTCGTTAGTGATGGTCAGGTCGAAGTAGTGGCTGTAGGCTCTTTGGATGCGTGCGCTCTCCTCCACGGTCTTCCTCAGATCCACGTCCTGAAATCATAGAGTGTACATGAGGAGTGGACTGACTGAGTGCTGATGTCACCTGTAGTGTTTGCCGAATACGGAAAGACTCCAAATTGAACATAAGCTGATGCCAATTTCCTTATATGGAGAATTGTTCCGACGGTGTTAGCGTTGTCTGTTGACTGTTGCTAAGATTGTTGGTAAGCCAATCTGTTAATGAAGGCACATATGTCTCATGTATGCATTTACAGACAATATCAAATTCAACCAGTGTGACACAAACGTCTACTGAGCTAGAGGAGTTTATGTTTACATGGAAGTCAATAGAAGCCAGAGAGAAATGGAGCCAAACATCACCATGAGCACTTCCCTATTGGCCTTCAATGAGCAAGTGGGTTAGCATTGTTCATCTGTAGTCTATGCCTGATTCACATACATACACCTATCTACGCACACACCCATACGAGCGTACACACACATATACATACAGACACACTCACTTATACTCATGCATGCACACATAGGCGCCCACACATCTTCGTATATGAATTGGTTTTGAAAATCAGACTTGGGTTTGTTCTCGGTTGCATTAAAGACAGCCTGTTATCAAAAGATAACAGAGAACATGTTATCTTTTGAATACTTGTAACAGAAAGCCCTGTGAGTCACTATTTTGCTCTTTGGGCTGAGAGCACATTGGTTAAGTGAGGGTGGTTTTTCTTTTTCACTTTTCTGTTTGAAAAAAACTGATCTAAAGTTATGACAGAGGCCAGAAACACATGCATTGGACGACTAGTGATAAAAAGCAACTCTTTTGAGAGTGAGGAACTATAAGCCGCGTTTCCAGCGCAGGAGTTCCTGGTAAAAGGAGCGGGGTGGAACTTTTACAAGAACCTTCCTCTCCCTCGGTCCTCTCAGTGTCCGTGTCTCCACTGCAGAGTAGGACCATTTGGCAACGTCATGAGTTTCGATTTCCACATAAGCGAAACTCAATACGCAAACCCATTTGTTTATTTTACGGTCGCAACCGCTCAAGTTGTTGTGGTCTTTGAGGTTTTTTTACAGTCCTGCTTCAGTTTTTTAAAGCTTTTCACGGCTTGTTTTGGAGTGTGATGAATCCCCAGCTGATATGTCTTAATATAACTTTTCATTTTGCCGCGATGCCTCAAACCCCGTCTGAATCAATGCCATGCTGTTGTTCGCTGTTTCCGGTGGTGTCTGCTAAGCTAATGCTGCTGGGCTAATGCCGGTTGTTTTGCTGCTTTCTGCTGGCGTCTTCAGCCAATCAGCGCCGGGTTAACCTCAAGTCCCACCAGGGCCCAACGGAGTACCTAGCATGGAGGAGGGACTCCGTTGGGCCCCGTAAAAGTTCCTGTAAATGACCATGTGGGGAAAGTTCCTGCAGTGGAGACATGCACCGACGGGGCTGGCTCTGGAATACTACCCTGAAGTTCCTGCGGTGGAAACGCGGCTTATGAATCAATCAAATGTATTTGAATGGCCTTCAAATACACACAATGTGCTATACAAAGTGCTTCTCAAGAGCAATTAAAACACAAAATCACCATATAATAATTTCATATTAAAACATTAAAGTATTGGGGCTACCGTGAGCTGTTTGGTGGTCAGGCCGGCATCCACCACAGCCTTGTGCATGGCTTTGAGCGTGTCAAAGTCTGGAGCCGCTATGAAGACCACGTATGGCATGAACTCTGCCGTCCTCAGCACTTTCAGAGCCTGCGCAGACACACAAATACAGTATATATATATATTCACTTCACATGTCATTATCACTTCTTTCACATCATTCTGTACACAGTGGTAATAAACTACTAGTGTAGCCAAATGTCCTGGGGCAAACTAACAGAAGTGAGGCATCCAGTGTGTGTCATCAGCTCGTCTGACCACCACCCATTCACACACACTAATTCTAATAAGAATTGCTCCCATAGGTGCAAGTGAAATAATACACTGCACTAAAGTTTTAAGGTAAGTGCAACAACACACTGCACTTTCGGCTTTCTGAAGTGCGAGATTGTGGAGTGCTCTCTGTGTGATGTCATTATTTTGTCCTATTGTCCTAGAGGTCTCTGATGGTGCTCTTGCTAATGTCTGTGCACAAATGTAAACAATACAACAGTACATATTACTGTAAAGTAAACATACATTATTCCTGGAATGCCATGCCTTCCTGTCTGGCCACTTATTTTCATCTATGACAGTGAATGTCTTCCCTAGAATGCAACACATTTTGACAAATAGTTCAACAATTGTGTATGTAATGACTAAAATAGGACTATTAGTTTGATAGGGAATGACTATTCAGCAGTCATAATTATGTTTCATTTTGACTGACATGACAGAAGCAAAAGATAATGTTACAAAACAGAAGAGAATTGTATGAAAGTAACTGATACATGTCCAAAAGATTTGTAATTTGTTCAAAGAAATCAGAAACTCCTACGATGATGTGCAAAAATTACTCAATGTTGTGGAAGTTGAACTAATTGTTTTGAGAACTTATCTGAGAAATGCACCAAAGCGACAGAAGAACTGTAAGTTTCTGACATCACCTTTAAGAAAGTTCTTGGTGTTTAAAGCACTTGGAGTGGCCTTGTGTACGAACTGCGCTATACAAACAAAAAGGACTTGCTTTGCCTTACTTGAAACTAGAATTGGATCTGTTATCAAAAGTTTGCCCTTGGGAATCAAGATGAAAGTGAGACTGGTACTTTATTTCAGGGGTGCAATACTAGAACAAAATCCTGCCAAATAATGTATAGAAATACTTAATTATCAAGATATTATGTTTTAGGTGACAGTTCAATTCAATAAAATTCAATTTATTCTTGTATAGCCCTAAGTTACAACAGTAGTTATCTCAGAGGACTTAACAAAACTGGAAGTCCACATTGAGAGAAGGATCCATGGGGTGCACGACTCAAGCTGCAGAACGAGGACAGTGGTACAGCGTTGGTGTTCGGGCTGTGGGCTAATGGTTGTGGGTTCAAGCCCCTTGTGAGACCTACTTTCTCTGCTCCCACTGACATGTGCTGTCGTTGTGTTCCTGGGCAAGACTGTGTCATTGGTGGACGGTTGAGTAGCCTGTGCTATAAGGATTGGGTGGAGTTCTGACATACTCTCCGAGATCATATTTTGGAGTGGGCTGCTCTCACCTGGGGGTTGACATCCAGGATGCAGGTTCGCCCGCTGGACACCACTTGGTGGATGGAGTGGATCTTGGTGCCGTACAGGTTCCCCTCGTACTCCCCATGCTCTAGGAAGCGGCCGGCCTTCACGTCCAGCTCCATCTCTGACCGCGACACAAAGTGGTATGCGCCCCCATCCAGCTCATCATCCCGGGGCCGGCGAGACGTGTCTACAAAACATCATACAAGTCAGAACTATAAAGCTGGTTAATCTGACACTGAAGCTGCTCATGAGGGCAAAGAATCTCCTGCAGGGGCCTCTGATTTGGTTCTGCATGTATCTGAAATTGTTCAGGAACGTCCTGTCTCCCACTTTTTGCAGGGGGGAAAGCCTAGGATGGAGCTGGACTTCCTGATGTGCAGGAGCAAAGTAGCCTGGAGCTGATGCACTCTAGTCCAGCTGCCTCCCTGCTCTTGATCTTCCTCAGCTATGTCCTCACCTAAGCAGCTGGGAAGGACAAGGTGTGGTTTTGGTACTTTTTTGTGTGGGCAGGTGCCAAATCCTACTGGAAAAGGCTTCTGGCATTGTTTGCAGTTCCGTAACATGAGAATCATGATCCATTGGCGTGTGGGTGCTTTTGAAGTACTGACTCTAGCCTTCAAACGAGAATTTGAATTTGGGTTTTTTCAAGCTGTAAGCCATGATAATAAAAAATAAAATAAAGGCTTTGTATATGTCACTTTGCATGCCATATCATAAATTAGGCTGACATCCTCTAATTTCTACCTGTACTCAGATTGAAACTGAATTGGACCAAAGGTAAAGATAGCAGGGTTTAGAAACTAATCTACAAATAGTTTTCCTCAGAAAATCTGCTCAGATTAGTATGTAAATGAGGTATAACAAGCCATAGTAGCATATCGGCTGGGAAGAGGTAAGCAGATATATCCAAATGATCAATATATAAGCATCAAAAAGTATTTGTTGTGTTTGTTTATTCTTGTGATATGATGGGGATCAGAAGTTTCAGAGTTTACGAACATTATTAGAAAACATTGTAAAATTCTTGAATATAAATATTAAGGATTAGTTGTGATTAATCGTTAGAGCATGAGTAAGAATTGAGTACAGATGGCACACGGGAAATCACTCACAGGGGATAGTGGTGCCAAACAGACTGGGCTGTAGCACCATCAGTCTGTTCTTCAAGCTCCGCCTCCCCACCCCCTGAGCACCAATAAGAACCAGGGTCTTTCTCTGGAAGGGCGGGACTCTGGCCACCTCTTCGTAAATCTGCAGCTCGTGCCGGTCAAACTCTGCAATACAAACGTCACAAGTTGCTTCACAGTCAAACACAACTCCAGGTTTGGTCCAAATCAAGACCTTTACAGACTTTACACCATTCAGGCTAAATTCTATCCCTCAGAGGCTTCTCCTGCTACAGGAGGAGGAGGAAGAGGAGGAGAAGGAGTGTGAGGAGGAGGGTTGTGTCACTCAAGTCTAACCTGCATTCTTGGCCGTCAGGTACATCATTTTCTTCTTCTTCTTCCCAGCCAGAGTCCCACACAGCATCCCTGTACACACAGTGACACACAGTATGTGATGTTATGTATCAGGTGATGTGAGATCCAGAGCGTTGTCCTCACCTGATCCTTCAAAGTCTCTGGGGACAAAGGCTTTCCTCTTCTCCTCCAGGAACTGACTGGGGATGAGTCCAGTGGCCCCTCCCACCACATGGCAAGCCTGCAGAAACACACGCTCAACATATGTTCTGTGCTGGACAATCACTAACACATTAGGCAAGGGTTTTGGTGAAAAAAGCATGTCAGCATTAATGATAATAATAATAATATTATTATTAACTCATTGATTGCCAGCCGTTTTTGATTATTTCACTGATTTTCAAGACCTACAGAATATTATGTGCTCTGACTATGTGAAATATGAAACTTGATTCTGCAACACTGGATTGTCTTCTTTCATCAGCAAAAAATGTTTGTTTCAGGTATTTTTGTTGTCCTGGAATCCCCAGTCGAATAGAGGGAAGTCTCAGACAAATACGTCAATGGCAGTCAATGGGTTAGTATAATGGGGGGGGGGTTCCAGATGCCACCCAGTACACATAGCATTGGCCCCTCATTGATCCTTCTGCAGGTGGTGAGGCCACAGGAGGGATAATAATAACAATAATAATAATAAAAGTAATAATAATAATCTCCCCCTTGGACTGCCACCTTAACGTGGTGGGGGAGTTTGAGCACTCGGAGGATCCTGGGAGCTATGCTGTCTGGGGCTTCATGCCCCTGGTAGGGCCTCCCATGGCAGACAGGTCTCAAGTGACGAGTCAGACGAAGCGCAGTCCGAAGCCAACCATGGACAGCACGACAACAAAAACCGTGACGTCGCCTGGCATGGCGCAGCCGGGGCCCCACCCTGGAGCCAGGCCTGGGGTCGGGGCTCGCAAGCGAGCGCCTGGTGGCCGGGCCTTAGCCCACGGGGCCCGGCCGGGCTCAGCCCGAAGGGATGACGTGGGCAGTCCCTCCTGTGGGCCCACCACCTGCAGAGGGGTCCGTGGTGGCGTGGTGCAGCGAGGACTGGGCAGCGGTCGAAGGCGGAGACCTCGACGACCCAGTCCACACACCCAACATCTGGCTGTTGGGACGTGGAACGTCACCTCACTGGGGGGGAAGGAGCCCGAGCTTGTGGGGGAGGTTGAGCGATACCGACTAGAGATAGTCGGCCTCACCTCCACACACAGCTTGGACTCTGGAACCCAACTCCTTGAGAGGGGTTGGACGCTCCACTTTTCTGGTGTTTCCCGCGGGGAGAGGCGGCGAGCTGGGGTGGCCATACTCATTGCCCCCCATCTCAGCCGCCACGTGTTGAAGTTCTCCCCGGTGAATGAGAGGGTCGCGTCCCTCCGCCTCCGGGTGGGGGACAAGTCTCTCACTGTTGTGACGGCCTACGGGCCTAACGGTAGTGCAGAGTACCCGGCCTTCTTGGAGTCCTTGGGAGGGGTACTGGACAGTGCACCGCCCGGGGACTCCGTTATTCTCCTGGGGGACTTCAACGCCCATGTGGGAAATGCCAGTGACACTTGGAGAGGGGTGATCGGGAAGAGCGGCCCCCCTGATCTGAACCCGAGTGGTGTTCAGTTGTTGGACTTCTGTGCCAGTCACGGCCTGTCCATCACGAACACCATGTTCGAGCACAAGGGTATCCACCAGTGCACGTGGCACCAGGACACCCTAGGCCGGAGGTCGATGATCGACTTTGTTGTCGTATCATCTGACCTTCGACCGCGTGTCTCGGACACTCGGGTAAAGAGAGGGGCGGAGCTGTCAACCGATCATCACCTGGTCGTGAGTTGGATCCGCTGGCAGGGGAAGAAGCCGGTCAGACCTGGCAGACCCAAGCGTATAGTGAGGGTTTGCTGGGAACGTCTCGCGGAGCCCCCTGTCAGACGGACTTTCAACTCACACCTCCGGGAGAGCTTCTCCCAGGTCCCGGCGGAGGAGGGGGACATCGAGTCCGAGTGGACCATGTTCTCTTCCTCTATCGCCAAAGCGGCGGCTCGTAGCTGTGGTCGCAAGGTCTCTGGTGCTGGTCCCGGCGGCAATCCCGAACCCGGTGGTGGACACCGGCAGTAAGGGATGCCGTCAGGCTGAAGAAGGAGTCCTATCGAGCAATGATGGTTCGTGGGACTCCTGAGGCAGCTGTCCAGTACCGGCAGGCCAAACGTGCCGTGGCCCGGGCTGTTGCAGAGGCAAAAACCCGGGACTGGGAGGAGTTCGGAGAGTCCATGGAGCATGACTATCGGTCGGCCTCGAAGAGGTTCTGGCAAACCGTCCGGCGCCTCAGGAGGGGGAAGCAGTTCTTTGCCAACACCGTGTATGGTGCGGGTGGAGGGCTGCTGACCTCGACTGAGGATATTGTCGGGCGGTGGAAGGAATACTTCGAGGTTCTCCTCAATCCCCCCGTCACGTCCTCCGTTCAGGAGGCAGAGGCTGAGGATGTTGGGGCGGACACTTCCATCTCCCTGGCCGAGGTCACCAAGGTGGTTGGCAGCCTCCATGGTGGCAAGGCGCCGGGAGTGGATGAGAGTAGTACGGTAGTGCAGAGTACCCGGCCTTCTTGGAGTCCTTGGGAGGGGTACTGGACAGTGCACCGCCCGGGACTCCGTTATTCTCCTGGGGGACTTCAACGCCCATGTGGGAAATGCCAGTGACACTTGGAGAGGGGTGATCGGGAAGAGCGGCCCCCCTGATCTGAACCCGAGTGGTGTTCAGTTGTTGGACTTCTGTGCCAGTCACGGCCTGTCCATCACGAACACCATGTTCGAGCACAAGGGTATCCACCAGTGCACGTGGCACCAGGACACCCTAGGCCGGAGGTCGATGATCGACTTTGTTGTCGTATCATCTGACCTTCGACCGCGTGTCTCGGACACTCGGGTAAAGAGAGGGGCGGAGCTGTCAACCGATCATCACCTGGTCGTGAGTTGGATCCGCTGGCAGGGGAAGAAGCCGGTCAGACCTGGCAGACCCAAGCGTATAGTGAGGGTTTGCTGGGAACGTTCTCGCGGAGCCCCCTGTCAGACGGACTTTCAACTCACACCTCCGGGAGAGCTTCTCCCAGGTCCCGGCGGAGGAGGGGGACATCGAGTCCGAGTGGACCATGTTCTCTTCCTCTATCGCCAAAGCGGCGGCTCGTAGCTGTGGTCGCAAGGTCTCTGGTGCTGGTCCCGGCGGCAATCCCCGAACCCGGTGGTGGACACCGGCAGTAAGGGATGCCGTCAGGCTGAAGAAGGAGTCCTATCGAGCAATGATGGTTCGTGGGACTCCTGAGGCAGCTGTCCAGTACCGGCAGGCCAAACGTGCCGTGGCCCGGGCTGTTGCAGAGGCAAAAACCCGGGACTGGGAGGAGTTCGGAGAGTCCATGGAGCATGACTATCGGTCGGCCTCGAAGAGGTTCTGGCAAACCGTCCGGCGCCTCAGGAGGGGGAAGCAGTTCTTTGCCAACACCGTGTATGGTGCGGGTGGAGGGCTGCTGACCTCGACTGAGGATATTGTCGGGCGGTGGAAGGAATACTTCGAGGTTCTCCTCAATCCCCCCGTCACGTCCTCCGTTCAGGAGGCAGAGGCTGAGGATGTTGGGGCGGACACTTCCATCTCCCTGGCCGAGGTCACCAAGGTGGTTGGCAGCCTCCATGGTGGCAAGGCGCCGGGAGTGGATGAGATCCGTCCTGACTATCTAAAGTCTCTGGATGTTTTAGGACTGTCTTGGCTGACACGTCTCTGCAACATCGCGTGGCGATCGGGGGCGGTGCCAATGGAGTGGCAGACCGGGGTGGTGGTCCCTCTCTACAAGAAGGGGGACCGGAGGGTGTGTTCCAATTATCGTGGGATCACACTCCTCAGCCTCCCCGGTAAGGTCTACTCCAAGGTACTGGAGAGGAGGCTACGGCCGATGGTCGAATCTCGGATTCAGGAGGAGCAGTGTGGTTTTCGTCCCGGTCGCGGAACACTGGACCAGCTCTATACTCTCCATCGGATACTCGAGGGTTCATGGGAGTTCGCCCAACCTGTCCACATGTGCTTTGTGGATTTGGAGAAGGCGTTCGACCGTGTTCCCCGGGGTGTCCTTTGGGGGGTCCTCCGGGAGTACGGGGTCCGGGGTCCTCTGCTGAGGGCCGTCTGGTCCCTGTATGACCGGAGCCAGAGCTGTGTTGGCATTGCCGGCAGTAAGTCAGACCTGTTCCCGGTGCATGTTGGCCTCCGCCAAGGCTGCCCTTTGTCACCGGTTCTGTTCACTGTATTTATGGACAGAATTTCTAGGCGCCGCCAGGGGCCGGAGGGGGTCCGGTTCGGGAACCACAGGATTTCATCTCTACTTTTTGCGGATGATGTCGTCCTGTTGGCTCCAACGAACCAGGACCTGCAGCATGCACTGGGACGGTTTGCAGCCGAGTGCGAAGCGGCTGGGATGAGAATCAGCACCTCCAAATCCGAGGCCATGGTGCTCGACCGGAAAAAGGTGCCTTGCCCTCTCCAGGTGGGTGGAGAGGTCCTTCCTCAAGTGGAGGAGTTCAAGTATCTCGGGGTCTTGTTCACGAGTGAGGGAAGAATGGAGCGTGAGATTGACAGGCGGATCGGTGCAGCGTGCGCAGTGATGCGGTCTCTGTATCGGACCGCTGTGGTAAAGAGGGAGCTGAGCCGAAAGGCGAAGCTCTCGATTTACCGGTCAATCTTCGTTCCCTCCCTCACCTATGGTCATGAGCTTTGGGTAATGACCGAAAGAACGAGATCGCGGATACAAGCGGTCGAAATGAGCTTCCTCCGCAGAGTGGCTGGGCGCTCCCTTAGAGATAGGGTGAGGAGCTCAGTCACACGGGAGGAGCTCGGAGTAGAGCCGCTGCTTCTCCACGTCGAGAGGAACCAGTTGAGGTGGCTCGGGCATCTGTTCAGGATGCCTCCTGGACGCCTCCCTGGGGAGGTGTTCCGGGCACGTCCCACCGGGAGGAGGCCCCGGGGAAGACCCAGGACACGCTGGAGAGACTATGTCTCTCAGCTGGCCTGGGAACGCCTTGGGCTCCCCCCGGACGAGCTGGAGGAGGTGTGTGTGGATAGGGAAGTCTGGGCGTCTCTGCTTAGACTGCTGCCCCCGCGACCCGGCAACGGATAAAGCGGAAGAAAATGGATGGATGGATGGATAATAATAATGCATAGATTTTACATAGCGCTTTTTTGGACATGTTTCACATGTCATTAGTCATTCATTCCATACACGGTGGTGATAAACTACTACTGGAGCCACAGCTGCAATAATATGAAAACAGAACATTAAAACTTACACTAACCCTAACCCAAACAATTTTGGTGATTGTTTTGTGTTGTTTCTATGTATTTTACATACTGTATGTGTGTTGCTTACAAACACATACATCAGTTCTCTGGTCTGTAATGTCCTTTACACTTATCCATAGACTTTACAGGGACAGTAATAGCTTGATGTTGATAAATCAGGGCCAATCTGAAAAAACAAAAGGATCAATCTCTTACTTTTCAAACTTTTTCATGTTTCAAGCCAAAAGTCCCATCACTAGCTCACTATAAATAACTACTAGAGTCTACCGAAAAAGGGGAACGTGCAATAGTCAAAAAAGATGTCAGATATCAGATTGGTCAGAGGTCTGGGGACCCATCTCCATTGATGCGGTTTAGTTTTGAGATGATAAATCAACTCAGTACAACATTTTGAAGTAGAGATTAGAGTAGGGCTGGTGGACACAGGGTTTTATAGACACAAATGAAAGCAAACATCAAAGCGTGTCGCTCTAGAAAAGTGGCGTCTTGAAGCTGTAACATCTGCTCAGACCTGCCACCAGTTGGGATCCTCCCTGTTGACGATCTGCAGGATGTCTCCTCTGCGGAAGGCCATTCCCGCCTCTCTGCACGGGATCAGACTATCCTGGGCTGGGTCATAGTCAAAGTATGGCCGTACGTACACCTGCAACACACACAAACACACACACACACACACACACACACACACACACACACACACACACACACACACAGACACATGTTAAGTCTCACTGTCCCTTACAAATGTATAAATATTGTGTAAGAGTATTGAATTGTCATGAAGCAATAACTTTCTCTGCAGACATACAAAAGCCTGTTCTGTCTGTTCTTTCACTCTCTTTGTGTCACCGTGAGGACACACACTCACAGTGAGGCCTCTTTCCAGCACTGTGGCCCCCGTCTCTGGAACAGTCTGCGGGAGGAGCTCAGGGCCACAGAGAACATTTATATTTTAAAAAGAAGGATCAAGACACACATTTTTAGATTAGCTTTTGGACATACGTTTTGACATATTTTATTTTATTTTAATTATTCATTTTTATTATTATTATTATCAATGTGTATCGTCTCCTTTTATTGTCACTTTTTGTTTAATTCATATTTAAGACTCCATGTGGCGGACCCGGACCCACAGATCCACTGTAAGCTATCCATGTTGGAGAAATTACCTTCCGGGTTGGTCTTGCTGAGGACAGTCCGACTACAGTGTATCATGTATAGATAGAATGTATTATGAGCCAAGCCTCACACATCGATAGCCTGATGCTACAATACCCTGATGTTCGGACATGGACTGTTTAAGACATTTTCCCACAGAGCTCAGTGTTCACTAAAACGGCTCGTCCTGACAGGGAACCTACAGGATTGAGGATTGGGAAATCCGTGTCCCTTGTTTTCCTGAACCTTTTTCTTTTGAAATCCATCATTTATACTGTATCTAAATGCACACTTCATGTCAGTAGTGGACCCTAATCCTAATCATCATTATTTCAGAGGATATCCTTTTGTTTAAGGGCGGATGATAACTGAGCATGCCTTTTAAGAACACGTTGCCTCCATATTAGTTTTGGGAATTTTTACAATCCAAAAGGTTTCATAATAATTGTGTCCCTTTAATTAGAAGTAATTTTCTACTCACAATTAGTGTTTTTTTTCTTATCCTGACCATTCCTTAATCCATTGTGATATGTTTATTGATTGAGGCAGTGGCGGTCACCTGTGGCGGTGCGGGCGCGTCCCTGTAACTGGGCAGGATCTTCAGTGTGATGCTGCCGCTGCACTCCTTCAGCATGTCCTGTAGCTCCGTGGGGTTGCTGCCCACGTCCTTCCCGTTTACTTCTTTGATGATGTCACCGACATGCAGCAGGCCCTGCCGGTCAATCATGCCCCCGTGTAGGATCCGCGCAATCACCAGCTCGTCCTTGTCCACCCGGAACGTCACACCCTGCCAAGCATCCACATACCCTTATATTATGTCCCCCCCTGCAGGTGTCTCAACCCCCGTAACAAAGGGGGCAGGAGGACTGTCACTTTTGAACTTCATCTGGCTGCATCCTCTGGCTGCTTGGTCGGATATAACCTGCCCTCTTTACGCCTCTTGTTGACTGTATAGGGACATTACAAGTGATCCAATGGATGATATTTACATAAATGTGGGGCCACAATGAGAGATTTGGATCAACACATGCAGGACACAGAAGGAGGGGCTTACTGCAGTCAGTGGGAGGTGCTCGGTGGGAGACTGGACAGAGAGAGGCTTCTGTCAGGAGCAGCGGTCAGCATAGTACAGTGCCCTGGGCCCATCTTCAGATATCCATGCTGTTAATGCATCAGTTTTATACAGCCCTTGTTTTGGACACTCAAAGTTGCTTCACATGTCATTATTCTTTCACTTATACTCCAGCCACAGCTGCCCTGGGGTACACTGACAGAAGTAAGGCAACCAGTGCCACCACAAGTGGGGGAAGGTCCCAGCTCAAAAGTGGCCAAAATGACGTGCGCTGACATGCTTGCAATACCACCCCGGGCCGATGGGGGTGGACCCAGAAGAAGAATTAGCCACTGCTAACATATAGCGTTAGCAGACTTCTCAAAAACGTCTTTACAGGATGGACCAAAAGTTGGCTCTTGGCCCAAAGCTCCGTTCCACAAGTGTGTCAATGCTGAGGGGGGTGGATTTTTTTGGTCCACTCTAGTTTACTCGAATTTTTGAAGTCTCTCGTTCAAATGAATGGAGCTGCGGCGGCTGACGCATGCGCAGATGCGTTTTTTCACAATTTTCTTGTGGGCGGGACCACTCGCGACCATCTTGGATTGCTCCATGAAAGCACTTTTCATGGCCAACTCCTATGAACGGCGGAGATAGGCGTGACTCTGTCCATTAATATATACAGTCCATGGCCACCACCCACACACACCACACACACTCATACACTCATTATAGGCAATTTAGGGGAAGTGTCTTGCCAAGGACACAACGACAGCAGATATCAAAGAGAGTCGGTGGAGAAAGTATTGTGGTGGGCTGGAACCCACGACCTTCAGGCCCAAAGGCCAATGACCAACTGAGCCACTGTCTCCCCTGTTGATTAGGACTAGAGCTGGAAGATTATTGACTATTGTAAATGTCTTTAGAAAGGCCCTGTTCTGACCGGGATTCGAATCCAGGACCTTCTTGCTGAGAAGCGACAGTGCTAACAACTCAGCCACAATGGCGCTCCAAGTGCACGCTAAGTGTTTCCCACCTATATATCACAGACTTTGTGCATCAGTATGCACTTTCTGACACACGTAAACTTAATGAAATGTTGACCTCACCCACCCTCCACTGGTCCCCTAACCTCACCCACTCTCCCCTGGTCCCCTAACCTCACCCACTCTCCCCTGGTCCCCTAACCTCACCCACTCTCCACTGGTCCCCTAACCTCACCCACTCTCCACTGGTCCCCTAACCTCACCCACTCTCCACTGGTCCCCTGCTCTCCCCTGGTGCCCCGCTCTCCCCTTGTCTCTGCAAGGCATACAACATGTAAAAGTGGGAGATGACTTTTGTGGACATTGTGTATTTGGAAGTATCCAACAGCATGCTGGACAATTGAAAGCAAATATTCATTTGAGTTATTTTTTTCTTTTTGTACAGATTTTGAAACACGGATTTGCACATGGCCCTCTCACCAGCGGCTCTCCGGCCTTCTTCCTGATGCCAATCATCCTGACGGCATCCGCCTGCATCAGAGCGCTGTTCACTGCCGCGTCATTGGTCATTTCAGCCGGGGGCGGGACTTCATAGCACTTTGAGGCCACCATGTCATGAGCCTCCAGCAGGGACTGAAACACACACACCACTCAGATCAAACACATGCGAAAACTTCCCACAGAGCCTTTTCCTCTACAAGGTAAAATAAAACATATGAAATTACTCCCCCTGGTGGGAGTTACAAGCAGAAAGCCTTGTTTACCCCTCATACAAGTTTCACCACATAATTTCTACTTGAGGGCGGCACAGTGGCTGAGTGGATAGCACTTTCGCCTCTCAGCAAGAAGGTCCTGGGTTCGAATCCCGGTCGGACCAGGCCCTTTCTGAGTGGAGTTTGCATGTTCTCCCTGTGTCTGCGTAGGTTTCCTCCGAGTACTCCAGTTTCCCCTACCACTAAAAATATGTACAATAGCGACCCCACTCCCATCTCTGTGTGGAGTGAGAAGACAAGTGCCCAAAAAAATTGTAAACCACTTTGTGACTCTGGTCTGTGAAAGGCGGTATTTAATAAAACTTACTTACTTGAGAAATTATTTCACATTCTAAAACATATGATGAATAATTAGTCTCACTATCCTTTTAAAGGCTGACTACAGTCTGCTATCAGGCCTCTACAACAGCTCCAGGGGCCAGCTCATCGTTGCCAGTTTGTAATCTGTGTTAAAGTAATCGTTCTTGTTACCTCTGTATATACCTTTTTTTGCTCTGCCTGAAACCTCCATTCCTGACCGGCACCGCATGACCCCAGCGCCTGACCCCAGCACCTGTCCCAGCTCGCCTGTGTTTTGAGTTTCTCCTTTTTTGTTCATTAAACATCTTTTTTTTACCTTTGCACTTGGGTTCCTTGTCCGACTCGTAACAATAATGCAGACTATTTTGTCAATAAAAGTGCTTAAATTTCATGATTAATTCAGTCCACTGAAGGAAAGGAGCCTGCTCTGCACCATCTGCCTCTCTGACCACCAAGACTACTGTGAACTTTTGTCTGACAACAGTTCTGTCTACAGCCTGAGTATTTGTCACAGCGTAGCGTAAATGTGACAACAGAGCATTTGACAGAAGGGAATGACCAGAAGTGAGTGACATCAGTGAGGAAGTAGCACATCCAAGTCTGTGAGATACAGTGCTGTCTCCACAAAATGAAGTAAATAATGCTGCACATAGACAAAAGCTGCACACTTCTAATATGCATTAATGGGTTTAGCTGTTATTATGGGATGGCTCAAATCCCAAATATGGATTAGAGTTTGTGCTGGATGGTTCCATGTGCGCTACTTCCCACTGTCACAGTAGGTCAGCTGGGTCTTATCCAGCAGATTAGCACCAAGCCATTTGATTGGTCCATCGGTCTCAGCAGGGTTTCAACCTCAACTCACATTGGACCATTTAGGTAAATCCAGTCGCTTACCACAGCTGTTACCGTATGACACACTATACAACATACACTACTCAATATACAGAGAAGCTACTTACCCCATTAGACGTGTTTTTCATATACAACATAATTGACCATTGTTGGAGTTAATTTTGTCTCTTGGATTTTCTCAGACTCAGACCTCTCTTGTCTCAGTATACATATAGCTCAAACCTCTCTTGCGTCAGTAATGTATACATACAGGCTCAGACCTCTTGTCTCAGTATGCATGCAGACAGGGAGAGATTTATATAAAAATCAGTAAAGGCAATAGTTAAATATCAAATGCTGAAAAAATAAAAAGGGGGAGGGGGAGAACTGAAACGATAGCTCTACCAAGATTTTTTTTTTCTTTCAACTAAAATATTAAATAAAAAATATATGTAGCAGGTGAACATTGAAAGCTTCTTTTACACAGACATATTTCAGCTTGGAGCCAACTCTGCTCTGAGGAGTTGAAACACCATTTTAGGATTGTTAGTTACACTACTAGTGCTGGAGTTTACATGTATTCCTGTAGAGGAGTTTAAGTGGTTTTCAATTATGCCGAATGAGAATGTGTTTGACAGTTGGATGCACAAAGAGGTAATAGTAAAGGTCGTGCGAATACTTCTGGAGTTCCACTGGAAGTGAGATTGCAGTATACTGTATATGTGAGCCCAGAGATTATGGTTGGAAGGATTCTGAACCACAACTCTCAGTGCATTATCAAAAAAGTGGATATTTTCTTTTCATGTTTCTCATTGTAGATTAGTTTGTGTAAACTCTCAGTTGCACAGGAATTAGTCAATCATCTGTGCTTCAGTTAGAACAGGCATGTCAAAGTCAAATACATCAGAGGGCCAAAAAAACAAATTTGCTGCGAGCCGAGGGCCGGACTGGTTCAACGTTTATTAACTCATCGCCTGCCAGCCTATTTCAGAACAGATACTCCCATATTGCCAGCAGTTTCTAATGATTTTTATAGATTTTTCAAGACCCACAGAATATCGTGTACTATGACTATCTGAAATCCAAAACCATATTCTGAAAGAATAGACTGTCTACTTTCGACAGCAAAAATTTTGTTTCTAGCTTGTAATCCCCAGTCGAGTAGAGGGAAGTTTTACTGAAATCACCAAAAAGCTGAGAAAAAAGAGGCACAACAAGTGCATCTAGCTGTTTTCAAACCATTCAGAGAGCGCTGCTGCCACCTGCTGGCTCGATTCAATATGATCTCGAGCTTATTCCCAAACATATTAGATATAATAGACATCTGGGAACATGAAAATAGCGGAAAATGCAATTGACGTAATAGTGCGTCAATGGCAGGCAACGGGCCATGTAAAATTCATTCGCGGGCCGGATTTGGCCCGCGGGCCTTGACTTTGACACATGTGAGTTAGAAGGTTTTCCCAACGTTTTCCTTCTAACTGAAGTACAGATGATAGGTGAGCAACGTTCCTTTGTTTTCTCATTGTAGAGATAAAAAGGACAGAGAATTGGATTAAATGTATTTTAAGTATATTGCAGTTAGAAGAAGAAGGTCCTTTATTTGTCCCGCAGAGGGGAAATTTCAGTTTGATGAAGTTATACACACATAGTTACACATATGTCTTTTACTTCTTCAAAAACCCTTCTGTAACAATCAGATTACTAGATAACTGTAGTTAGTCTAAGCAAAGGAAGGTTTCTCACCCATCATCTGTACTTCTTAGCAAGTTTTCCCGACGTTTCGTCCTCAACCTGGGGACTTCTTCAGGGAATGAATTCTCGGACCGCGCGTTGGAGATTTATAACCTATGGGTGTGGTAAGCCACACCCTAATCCTGATACTAACTCGTAAACAATCTCAGGTAGTTAGTCTATTTCAAAAGTAATCATACTACTACTGATACTACTATTGATTCCGAAGTACTTCCGAAGCAAACATCAGTTACAGTAGTACAGTAAAGTATATAAAAAGGTTTGTTTTACTAGTAGTTGTAGCAGCAACAACAGTAGCAGCAATAGCAGTACTAATAGTAGCAGTAGTAGTAACAGTGACCTTAGTAGCAGCAACAGTAATAGTAGCAGTAGTAGCAGTAGAAGTACTTGTAGCAGTATTAGTAACTATGGGAGAAGCGGTAGTAACAGTGGTAGTAGTAGCAGCAGTAGTAATAGTAGCAACAGTTGTACAAAGTTGATTTTCTATCAACAGAGTAATAATTAAACAACTAGAACACAGGAAATGGAATAATAGCAAACATATATGAGCTATTGGTCCATAGTGAGCAGGATGACCACAGGACATATATGTCCTTAAATGTCCTGTATCACCACTGTCCTTAGCAAAGGTAGTAGTAGAAAGGCAAGGCAAGTTTCTTTGTATAGCACAATTCATACACAAGGCAACTCAAAGTGCTGAACAAAATAATACAGCATTAAAATAATAATCACAGAACATTAAAAAGAAAGATAAAAATATAAAATCCCTCAGTTGTATGCACAGCTAAACAGAACTGTTTTGAACCTTGTTTTAAACATTGTCAGAGAGGAGGCCTGTCTCACATCTTCAGGAAGATTGTTCCAGATTTTAGCAGCATGAATCTGAAATGCAGCCTCCCCATTTTTTAGTCCTGACTCTGGGCACTAACAGGAGTCCCGACCCTGTGCTCCTCAGAGTCCGAGCTGGTTCATATGGGACTAACATGTCACTAATGTAGTGGTACTAGTAGTATAGTTGTGGTAGTAGCCGCAACAGCCAGTAGCAGTAGTTAGTAGTAGTACTAGGAGTAGTACCTGGAAGTGTGGCTCCTGCAGGATCCTCTTCAGCTCCTCTGTGCTCTGGTCTTTGCTCTGCAGGTGCCTGATGTCTCCCAGGATGTCGCTGACCAGCTCCACGTTGTTATCCTGCACAGCCTCCAATCGCACCTCGTCATCCCGCTCTGTGCTCTGGGATTAACACAAGAGGAAGAGGCTTAACCTCTGCTCAGCCAGGGGTCACTGCACTCAGCCCAGGGGTCACTGCCCAGTTCTCAGGCCCGGAGCAACACTGAGACCCACATTATTCATACTACATAAGATAATTTTGCTACAGTACAGTGTGTTGCTGCTGTGACCCTGTGCTGTTGCTTATAATTACTATTGTGAACTTTTTAGAATAATCAATTCATTTGTTTTGTTTGTGTGGATGGATGGGTTTTTGCGGCTACTGGACACCTGAACTTCTCCTACTGGGATTAATAAAGTATGTAATGAACTAACTAAATGAGCAACATCAAACATAATGGCTGCTGATGACTAGGAGCAACTTCGCAGATATCAATGATACTTCAATTTAAAAAAAAGCAACAAGTTGAAAGAACTTACATTGTTTGCACAGTGATAAATTAAATTCTGTTATTATCAAATAAGTTGAATGGACCTCAGAGTTTTGAGGTAACTTATTGCTCTAAAACAATTATGTTTAGAAACGTTAAATTAACTCAACTTGCATTTGCATTTGAAATGAGATATGATCCTAGCGTGTAGCTAGCGTGGTGTGCCGTTTGATATTGTCTGGTGTGCCTTGAGAAATTCGCCTACTTAGTCTAAAAATAAACGCATCAGCCCTAGGCGAGTGCTGACTTGTTTTGAACTGTGGAGTAACCACATAATACTTTTTCATATCAGTAGGTGGCAGCAGATAGCTAAGTACTTTGAAACGTAGGAATTGGATGCGACCACCGGATGTAGTGGGAAGCATTGTGACAAGAAACGTAAGAATTGAACGCAACCAGCAAATGTAACAGGTAGCCGCAGAGCATGGATCTATTATAATAACTGGATAGGGTATTACTAGCTTGGGGCTGAAGAACTCATGTGCTCGGGGGATTCTCGCTGTACTGCAGACTAAATTCACGTGGGCTACCCTGAAATTTTCCCCTTAGAACTCAATGTAAACTAAAACAGCTCAACCTCAGCTGACAGAGAACCTACAGCTTTATTAAAGGTCGGATTTTTTGGGGATTTTAGTGTCCCTTGTCATCTTGAACTTTTTTCTTCTTAAATCCTTCGGTTTTCTTTTAATCCACACTTTAGTGCAAAAAACTCTGCTCGTCTGGCTCCTGCTTTAACTCCCGCTCTGATGAGCAGTTCTGATTGGTCAGAACACGGCCGAGCCTCTCTGTGCACGTGCATGAGACCCACACACGCATATTTGGCACAACGCATCATGGGAGATCATTCACTGCGCAGAACCGGGAGGACCAGACGATGCCCATAGAGCGAGTTCCCATAGATCTTTGCGAGTTCCAGGTGACTTCCGCTAATCTTTCAGCGCCCATGCTGTCACAATGCGCCACTGAGCACAACCATTCATTTGGATCGCCGGGGCTTGGGGCAGAGCGGGGCAGAGGCTGTGGCTCGTGAGAAGTGAAAATAATTGAGACGTATTTGAAAAGGAATTATGCCATTTCTGAACAGGATTCAAATCTTCCGCTCTGACCCCGTGGCAGCTCTGGCCGCTTTGTCAACAACTCAGCGAACGCACATCCGTAACGTGGTACTGAGCTCGGACCATAGACGCGTGGACAGAACCATGGACGTGAAGACAGAACCATGGATTCGTGTTCCGGACCGGCTCCTGTGTCTCCCCGTGTCTTTGCCGTGTCTCTCCCTTATCTCTCCTGTGTCGCCTCCCGAAGTGCAACCAAAATTAAAGCTCGGATACCTTTTTCCTTTTACCCCCATGCATTAACAATGCATGTTATTTGTGCTCAAAAGTAGAATATTGTGAACAAATCAAACAGAACACACACAACAGGCCTTTTTATTATTATTATGTTGCATACTTATGAGCCCTCTGAATCATTATTTGACTTTTTGGGCTGAGAGTGGATTTTTGAAATATTTTTTTATTTTTGGGTTATTTCCAAACTCTTGTTAACTCATTGCATTGAGAAATATTAAACAAAGCTTAATGTCAAGGCCTGGATGTCTTAAAGTGATAGTCTGTAACTCTAAATGAATTACAAATATTAGGAAATGTGTTAAATTGACCTCCTGGCCTTAATATTAATTCTAATATTACGGGCAAGTCCCGCCTTCCCTTCTCTTAGCTATATCTCAGAATCCACGGTGCCGTCGAGGTTAACAAATCGAGTTATGCCAAGGGCTGTCAATCATCGGCGCTGATGCTCGTAGCTACGCGCATGCTCAGTTGTTTGTTTTTGCGGAACCTCCGAATCCAGCCTTTATTAGGCTCTGGAACTACATGAAAACTGAACAAAGAATTCTGAACATCCGCTCTGAGGTACTTATGTATATACTGAACCTATATCCATAATCATTTGCTTGCGTCGTTTTTTTTCCAAATCAAGTACCTCTCTGTCTCTCTTTCTGACACTTTAAGCACTTTGAGGAGAATGACATCATATTGTGAATATATAGGCTACAGAGTAAGACTTTTAGCATTTTCTCCTGGTGGTGTGCCGCGAGATTTTTTCAATGAAAAATTTGTGCCTTGGCTCAAAATTTTTTGAAAAACACTGTATTCAATTATATTATTTTTATGCTGCTTTTACTGGTTTTGGTCCTTCCTTGTTTATCCTTGACAGAAGTGTGCAAACATGTTAAGGTTAATGATATACCCTGTGCAGGATCCATCCATCCATCCATCTATTTTCTTCCCCTTAATCCATTTCTGGGTCTGGGGGGTGGCAGTCATAGCTGCACCCAGTACACAGAGCACCAGCCCCTAACTGATCCTTAGGGCTTGTTTTTCAGTCCTAGTGCAGGACATTAGTGACTTAAGAGACTTATTGTACAGTCTGACAGCAGTGGGGATAAAGGCCCTGCGGTAGCGCTCCTTCTTGCACTGAGGGTGCCGCAGTCTTCCACTGAAGGAGCTCCTCAGTTTCTCTACAGTCCTGTGCAGTGGGTGTTGTCCATGATGGAGGTGACTTTGACTAGCACCCTCCTGTCCCTCACGTCCTCCACAGAGTCCAGGAAGCAGCCCAGAGCAAAGCTGGTATTCCAGTTAGTTCCCCTCGGAATCACAGCCCGCGATGGCGGAGTTGTCAGAGACCTTATGCAGGTGGCAGCTGTGTGTGTGTCGCATGTGAAGTCCGAAGTGTAGATGGTGAAGAGAGTGCCCCAGTACTCCAGACTACCACCTCAGAATCACAGCTGCGCAGGCGCACATACTGTGGTCGGTCAGAGAGGTAGTCAATGGTCCATGCAGTGAGGCTACTGTCCACTCCCACGTTCTCCATCTTCCCCCGCAGCAGTGCCGATCTGATGGTGTTCAAAGCACTGGAGAAGTCAAAAAACATGACCCTCACAGCGCTCCCGGCAGGCTCCAGGTGGGAGGGCGTTCGCTGCAGTAAGTAGTTGACAGAGTCCTCTACTCTGATGTTGGGCCTGTAGGCGAACTGCAGCGGGTCCAGGGTGGGGCTGACCACAGAGTGGGGATGTACACACATAAAATCACAGTGTGTGCTCCCATGGCTAGAGACCACAGCATTCGGCACATTCCTATACAGCCATGTTTCAGAGAAACTCATGAGTCCACACTGTCTGTATTCCCTCTGATGACGGGCCAGTGCAACCAGCTCGTCAATCGAACGTACGTTTCCATTGATAATGGATGGGAGGTGGGGACCTGTCTCTTGTTTTGCGTCTCCTGCATACTTCCACGGGGATCACCTGCTTCTCAGAGAGCAGGAAAGAGTCTCTTAGTCTGAGGAGCTGCTCCCAAGTGTAAACAGTGGGACATGTGCCGCTGTGCGCTTCCCTGGCGCAAAGGAATCCAGAAGTGCCAAAAACATATTAAAAGGGACCTAATCTTATTTTGTTCGTATATTGTGGTATTTTTTTGTGTAAAACTAATTTTGACAGATAGTTTCACCCTTAGCAGTTTCTATCAATAATAATCATGCAAAAAGACATTCGCGGAAAAATTGCCGAGACCGGAAGTGACGTACGCCATAACGTTGTACACGGACGTTTTAAACAGATATTTGTCATTCAGTGATGGGCAATACAAGTCAGGGGCTTTTATTTATGAGCCCTTGTATACTTGTTATGAAAGTAATTATGATTTTGAGGACTCTGACTCGGTTCAGAACAGGAGCAATCTGCAAGCAATGGACATTTGCGGACATTAGGGCCGTTTCCACGGGCTGGAGTCATGGATCTATGGTCCGACCGGGTCCGACCCGTCTCGACCCGGTTTGCAGATGCGGTCAGTTTGAGCTCGATGGTGCACCCGAATGAGTGTAAATAGCTTAAGTGTTTGCGAAGGTAGCACTAGGGATGAAGGAATGGATATCAGGGACATCGTAGTGTAGATAAAAGTTTAGAAGCGTAAAAGTGACTACCGTGAAATGAAAGATCCCAGCCGTAAAAGTGGACAGAACTGAAAAGTCTGGAGGTGGTTTGACAACATGGATTGAGGCTATTTTTACGGACATCAGCTAACAAGCAAACATCAGCTAACAAGCTAACACCAGCTAACACGTCCATACCCGCAACTCAGAAGCCTCAACTCTATGTCCCAGCTTCAGATGTTGAGTTTGACAGAAATGGTGTCTGTCTTCAATCAAATGCAAACATGTAGCGTTATGGTCTTATTCTGAACGTGTGTCTGTGGTTCTAAAGTCTAAAACACGATGGTATGTGTCATATCTATATCTTTTACTAAACGTAGTTTATTCATGGTTCAATGACAGTTGTTGTGTTTTCTGCTGAATACTGGGTTGAAACTGGCGCTGGTGTCTTCTCTCAGTTTGTTTGGACCGTCGCCTTCTCTGAATAAGTCAAAGATCGTAGGGACTGCTTTTTACACTCTTCTTTTTGTTACTTTCATTGCTGCATCCCGGGGCCGTATAAAATACACCCATTTTAAGGTTTATTTGTGTCAAAGCGGCAGCAGGAGCAATGCCATAAACAGTAAAGCGGGAGCTGCGACCCCTACAAGTACATCGTCATTTTTCTGGCCAATCAGAGGCGTTGATATTAAAAGGTTATTTTACTGATTTATTACTTATCTATAACACAAAACACATATACATGGAAATACATGCTTTTAATGTTTTTTATCAGAAAAAAAATAGTTTTTAATAACGTTAGTGCCCTTTTAAGTCCCTCCTGCCCGCCTTGTCACCGTCTGAAGCAGGGCCTTCAGCCGCTCCCTAGCTCTGGAACACTAGCCCCCTGACCTCCGAAACACTGACACACTCCTACACTTCCAAATCACAATATTTCACTGTTCACTTTAACTGTATGCGTTTAATTGTTTAGCTTTTACAGTAATTGTGTACCCTTTGTAAAGCAACCTTTATTTCCATATAAATGCATTATTATTATTAAATCATCTAACATGTCAAAAGAACTACAACAACTGCTAGCTGATTTTTTTTGGCACCAAATTCCGCCCACCACTTCCGCCCTGGGTTTTTTGCTATCAAAGCAGAACGTCATATTTACAAAACTGAAACTTACTGAAACTAAGTGAGCATGTGTCCGAGATGCATCATCGCTATGTCGATGAGTCAGCGGTGTGAACGAACACTTACAAGTATGCAATTTTAAAAAACAAAAAACAAATAAGATACATGTTGTGATCTGATTTGCTTACAACATTTAGTGGGACAAATATAAAGTCAAGTACACCAGCTTTAAAACTACTAAAAAGTACTTTACAGATCTGTGTGTAAAACTGTCATGTGTGAAATGATTTATTCATCTGCTTTCATTCTGATTTTCAAACTTTGCTTGTCTGTTTTGATGATTGGTGTGATTGTGAAATGGATTAATATGAAAAGGAACATGCGGGGCTCACCGTGGGGCTTTCCATAATTCCACGCAGGAACAGTAGGTCGATGTCTTTAACGCCTCCCCCGTCCCCCCCCTGTCCTCCACTGGGGGGCTGCTCCTCTGGTACATTGTCCAACACTTGCTGCATGGCTGTGGACACACAACGGACAGTTTTCAAAGTAGAAGAATACAGAGGATGATTTTCAGGTCTAACCACTGTAAGGTCCAGTCTCCAAAAGATGCTTTCAAAGGCTTCTGCTAACTTTGCCTTAGCACTCACACTTTAGAACAGTAAGTGTAAATAAAATGTCTCTCATATATACGGTAAAACACACTTTTGGCAGTAATCTCTTTTACTTTGAACATTTGATTTTCACACAGGGTCAACTGCAGAAGCATAAGTCATTCAGTTTCCATAGCACAATTAAATGCACAGTGTTTACTGCTTTTACCTCACAAAGCTAAATAAAAACAAAACAATGACACACATGCAGAGGGACCGGTGTACTTCATCACAAAGATCAAAATCAGTGGCCTATATTCAGCCTCACGTGGGAAATTTACTCCAGCCTCCTGCACTAGCCTGGTCTTAGCCATCCGTACAATCATCATTTCACTGCATGTAACGCCTGGGTCTGGTCGCTGTGTTACTGATTACAATTGGTTGAATTTCGACCGACCATTCAGAGAGCGCGGAAGGCAGGTGTTGTAGTTAGTTGTGGGTGATGTCAAGAGTTTGCGTCGAACAAACAGGTTGTAGTTTGGTAAAGACGAAAAATGGGACAGTAAAGTAATCCGGTCTGGTTCTATCAAGAAATTGAAGCCGGAGCAAGGGTAATGTTTAGCAAATGTAATCGCTGTAAAAATTGTGACGCTACTCCCCACGGGCTCCTTTAGCGGCAAAGGAGATGGCTAGGCTAAATGCTAAATGCTAACGACTAACTCGGGCGCATTGTATACGTCACGGTAAACTCAGATCCAATCGTTTCAATCTGCAAAAGAAGGTAACCCCTCCCACCTGTAAACGGAGCTCAATGGAGCGCCTCCAGACCTTAGTACGAAATGTAATTTATACTATGGTGTGGTACGACCAGGCTAGTCCTGCACATATCTAGAGACATTGGATGCAGTGAACATTTTTTCCAAGATACCTTGTATAATAAAGATCAGCTATACTTTGGTGTTGTTTAAAAACCTAACGCTGCTGCGCACACACTGTAACATACAGCTGCAGAGGACACTGAGTGGCAGGAGAAGGGGCCTACGGGAAGGCCGCTGTAGTCCTCTGAGCTTATCACATAAACCAAAAAGTTTCCTTCTGATTCTGAATCAAGATAACTGTCATGTTACACTGGGAGTTTAATGATGTTACACATGGCGCATGAAAAGCATGATGTAAAAAAAACACATTAAATGGACCACAAATAAATCTGTGAAAAAGCAATACTCTGTTAGAGCAAGGGACCACTGTACACATTCCATATTGGCTAATAAGCTTGTGTAATAAGATTTTATAAATCATAGGCAAATTGCACTGACAAGAGGAGTGTGGGAATGCACGTTTCTTGTTGCACACAGACACACACACAAAACACACACAGAGCAAAGAGGCATTCTTTTTCAATGCATTATTATTTGTATAATAATAATACATCATACAAACTTTGTGATTCTGGCTCAAAGTTTGTATGAATCCTCGAGTCGCATTCTCTTCAAGTTGCCATTGACTTCACAAGCTTTTTTTTCACAGACAATTAAATAAAAATCTAGCGCCAAATAACACAATGACTGGGGCGCTGATGGGCAACCGTGATTTTATAATCATGTGCATGTGAGATCACTCTTCAAAGAGTCAATAAAGTGAGTGCAGAGCGACGCCACACAGAAGTCTCAGAAGACTTTACAACAAAGTAATTGACTCATAAGGAGCAGATGACCAATTTCTATAAATGTTAATAAATGTCCACAAATGTCCCAGATCATCTTTGTCCTCAGACTCCCATGAATTGATGAGGAACAACTAAAACACCCAGTTTATGGAGCTTTACAGGTGAAATACACTTTTTCTATAGTAACCAAATGATAGTAACTTTAAAAACCCTCTAAATTCAAAGCCTACTAGAAATTAAAGAAAGAGATAAAACCAGTAAAACTAGACCATAGGAAAACTCTAAATGAGAACGCTAAATGCTATTCCATGAAGCATCAGTCACAATCTCCTTATGCTTGGATAAAACGACTACAATTTTAGAAGTCGTTCATTGGGCAGATCGCCTCAATGCAGATATGACTTGTAATTTAGCTCTGTCTCTTTCTTGTCATCAAAGGAGATGGAGTAGAACATATCAGGAAAAAAAACGATATCAAGACGGATGCAAGCAAAAAGCAAATACACCTTTAACAGGTTATTTTCAAAAACCAAATTATCATTTGCCGAAAGAAAACAGAATAAAAACAAGCCATAAGCTCACCATCATGACAGGCCGGGTCCTTTACAGCCATCACCATCCTCCCTCTCCTCCACTACCACCACTTCTTACTTCTACTACTACTAATAATACAAGTACTACAACTAATATGAGTACTTCTGCTTTTACTACTGCTGCTGTTGCTGCTGTTTGTAGTGTGAGGTTTTGAGGTGCAGTCGGCAGAGGAAAATCAGACGATTGTGTTGTGTGCAGAGGACAGACTGTTATTAAAGCTCATACATAATCCCTGACCCATCCTCTACGGGACGTCCCATCATCTGACCCCTCCCCCTCTGCACTCAGGCTCAGAAGCTGCAGGCCACAGCCTCACACCAGCCAAAGACACACACCACCAGCCAGACACACACCAGTAAGATACACACAGGTTAGGGTCAAACTCTGAAAATCATAACAATCAGAACAGGCACTTTAAGACATAAAAATGAAATTCAAATAACAAATATGTGCAAAACTGTCTTTTTCTCTTAATGTGTGACAGCTCCTGAAACATTATGAGAGATTGAGAAATACTTAAGTCAATGACAGAAAAAAAAAAAAAAAAATATATATATATATATATATATATATATATATATATATATATATATATATATAATATATATATATATATATATATATATATATATGAGCATGGTTTGGTCATGATGGTCATGGTTTTGAGAGGAACAGTGTCAAGTCCACGTAGATTTGAAATGTCTGATCTCACTATAAAATCAATGGTACTTACGTCTGTCCCAAAATATGAGAAAACAGTATAGAAACTACACCTTTTAGTCCACAAGTAACAACTACAAATTTAAACAAGGCATTTGGCTGGTTCTGAATTGAATAGAAAAAAAAGATTTCTGTAAATTAAACCAATGTGTTAACAGCACATTTGACAACAATACTAATAATAACAAATAGGGGAGTGAGGATTCCCTTTCATTGTGTGGCCACATGCTTTCCGGCAGAAAGCCAGACTGCAATGCGATAGGATTCTACCAAAGTGGACACACCCCTTACTCGTGGACAGTTTACAAATCATTCCTCAATCAACCGTGGCGGTGCTATTGCCAAGCCACCTGAACTGGACTATTAAATCCAGAAAACAGGATGCTACAGAAGCCCGGTGTTTGGGGCTTGTCTGTCTTCCAGATACGTTTGTTGACGACCCTGTGAGGCATGTACAAAGGATCATGACAATAGGAAAATGTATGCAAGGTCTCTAATTGTTGTATGTTGCGTAAACCAAGGAATTTGCACCCACATACAGTACACAGGAATAGTTTTATATTTGAAATACATCTTTATTAATAAAAAACACTGTTTTCTACTTAACTGTATTGACGATCTGCTCATAAATAAGAAACCAGTTATGCAGTTTTCACACATTCATATATTGCAGATTATTTCTGACATATTCCAGTATATTTGTTCATCCACATGGAAGATGTTGAGGTCAGAGTTGTACCTTCAGTTTCAAATATCATCTTGTTGATTGATGGAAAATATTTCCATATGTTAATTGATTTGTATTGGATTGAAGCAGGCCAATTGAATCAATATTACAAATGTATTTTTGTGTTTAGGATACACTTTCACAGAAAATCCATATGAGCCCAGACTAATGCAGTATTCATCTGCGCTAAAGCAATTATGATGGTCATTTATGATCAGTCAGGGAGTGCACTGAAGAAAAGAAACCAGGCCTTTCCATCACTTCTTTGAAATTGAACTCCCATCCAAATGCAAAGTTCTGGATCAACATACCCTCAAGGTCATAAGCTTTTGGGACTCCAGCTTAACCAGGACAAAACTGGGGTCCCTGGCACTTATCTTTCAGAACTGCTTAATGTAAAAACCATCCCGGCCCCTTCTGGCAGTAGACTCCAAATCATTCCCAAAGTCAGGACACACACTCAGTGAGGCATCTTTCCAACACTACGGCCCCCATCTCTGGAACAGCAGCTAGAGGAGTATTTATTACTTTCATTGTATTCTAAATGTTCCATTCATTTACAGGATTTGATTTCATTATTTCTATAGTGTATTGTACTATAGTCTCTTTTACATTATCATTTACATATTTTATTCTTCCTGTTACTCAAAATGGCAATTATTTGTATTTCCATTGTGAGTAACAGGAAGTCACAAACAAATATATTGCTTTGGCTCTTGGTGCAAACAAGTTATTAAATTATCAAGAGAAATAGAATAAGGCATGTATACAAAGCATCTACATAACATTTCTGTTCCTGAGTCCAACTGCAGAGGGGAAGAAACTGTTCTTAGGGTTCTGGTCCGGATGGACCGTAGCCTCCTGCCTGAGGGGAGTGGTTGAAACAGTCCGTGTACAAGCAGTAATACTAATGGCAGAGCCTCGAGCTCAGGTGACGTACTACCCATGTGGCTCCCGGGCTTACTTAACTATTCTATACTATAAAACTATACAATACAATACAATACAATTTATTCTTGTATAGCCCTAGGTCACAACAGAAGTCATCTAAGAGGACTTAACAAAACCATTGAAATCACCAACACAGGTCAGAGAATCAACAGTTAAAACACATGAAAAATATAAAGCACACACAGAAGAAAATGTCCATACATGTTGTAGAATGCTAAAGTGTCCTGATAATCACCAATCTTTTCTGTTGGACACTAACTGTCCAACCAGACCCTCCTGCATCGACAAGGAAAAACTCTTAAAAAACCCAGTGGGAAAAAGTGAGAAACCTTGGGGAGAACTAGGGAAACCCACAGGGAGGGAGACCCATTTGAGAAAGGGATCCGCTCCTCCGGACGGACAGGCTAATGATCCAGGACCTAAGCTAGCTACAGAACGTGGACCAGTGGCCGCTGAACGTGGACAGGTCCGGTGCAGGACCAAAGCACTCCCAGGCGGGTCGGGCAGGGCAGTCCGCAGGTCTACATGGAGGAGGCCAGGACCAGAGGTCCCGTCATCGTACTATTCTATACTATAAAACTATGTTTTATAGTATAGAATAGTTTATTTCATAAATCATATATTTTTCCCTAAATGTATTTTGTAAGAAATAAAGAAATTAATAAACTATCGCTCAAATTTTATTGTTTTTATAATAACATTTTTATAACACTATTAAACTATGTTTTATAGTATAGAATTGGTGCTATGTGTGTACTGGGTGCAGCTCTGACTGCCACCCCCCAGACCCAGAAATGGATTAAGGGGAAGAAAATGGAAGGATGGACATTATAAAACAAATATCTATATACTATAACAACGTCCGAATACTACTGTGCTGTATTGTACAGTACTATACTCACTATACAGTCTCATCATCAAGTCTCATCACTCATCACCAATCACAGCACTAAGTGCTCGCACTTGTTCTCGAGGTATATGGCAGATTCTGATGTCTCCTGTTGCTGTTATTCTGAGTACATAAAGAAGAACAGATGAACAGCTCCGCAGATGTCAGTCCTTATGTCAGGCTGTCTTAGTCAGATTGGTTCAAATGTGTCGGAGCCTCTGAGCTAGCTCAGACCGCTCAGACTAGCTTGTAACACTGACATCTTGTGGACAAATGTAATAATTGCAGCTTAAAAGCATTGTCCCACCATCAGTCGGGGGCGACAGTGGCTCAGTTGGTAGAGCATTGGCCTTTGAGCCTGAAGGTTGTGGGTTCGAGCTCACCAAGAGACCTACTTCACGACTGCCACTTATGTCTGCTATTGTTTCAAATTCAGATTCAGATTCATTTATTTGCCATTTGCAGTAAAATGGCAAATGTTGTGCCCTTGGGCAAGACTGAAGCCCATGCTGAAAGATCATGGCTCCTGTGAACTCACCACCTGCAGAAGGATCAGTGCAGGGCTGGTGCTAAGTGTACTGGGTGCAGCTCTGACTGCCACCCCCCCGACCCCGAAATGGATTAAGGGGAAGAAAATGGATGGATGTTCCAATGTCAATAAAACTCAAAAACAATTGTGTTGTGATTTTAATTTGATACTTCTCACATAATTTGGACAAGACCTACTGCAGCAAAACATAGATTAACAGATACAGTATATGCCCATTTTTTAAGGAATCCTTTTATTGAATACAAATAACAAAAGGATTTCACTCTTTGCATATACAGGGGGGCAAAAAAGTATTTAGTCAGCCACCAATTGTGCAAGTTTTCCCACTTAAAATAATGACAGTGGTCTGTAATTTTCATCACAGGTACACTTAAACTGTAAGAGACAGAATGTGAAAAAAAAAATCCAGGAATTCACATTGTAGGATTTTTAAAGAATTTATTTGTAAATTATGGTGGAAAATAAGTATTTGGTCAATAACAGAAATTCAACTCAATGGAAGGAGGTTTTGGCTCAAAATCTCACGATACATGGCCCCATTCATTCTTTCCTTAACACGGATCAGTCGTCCTGTCCCCTTAGCTGAAAAACAGCCCCAAAGCATGATGTTTCCACCCCCATGCTTCACAGTAGGTATGGTGTTCTTGGGATGCAACTCAGTATTCTTCTTCCTCCAAACACGACGAGTTGAGTTTATACCAAACAGTTCTACTTTGGTTTCATCTGACCACATGACATTCTCCCAATCCTCTGCTGTATCATCCATGTGCTCTCTGGCAAACTTCAGACGGGCCTGGACATGCATTGGCTTCAGCAGGGGGACACGTCTGGCACTGCAGGATGTGATTCCCTGTCGTCGTAGTGTGTTACTGATGGTAACCTTTGTTACTTTGGTACCAGCTCTCTGCAGGTCATTCACCAGGTCCCCCGTGTGGTTCTGGGATTTTTGATCACTGTTCTAATGATCATTTTGACCCCACGGGATGGGATCTTGCGTGGAGCCCCAGATCGAAGGAGATTATCAGTGGTTGAAATATCGTTGTGGGCTACATTTGGGCTATCTTTTATACAGATAAGGAGTTCAAACAGGTGCCATTAATACAGGTCACGAGTGGAGGACAGAAGAGCTTCTTAAAGAAGAAGTTACAGGTCTGTGAGAGCCAGAGATCTTCCTTGTTTGAAGTGACC